CAAATGTGACTTGACTGAAACCCTGTCATCATGCCCTCATGCTTGTTGCTCACACGATCCACCACTGGTTGGTCGTCTCACACAGACATTATAACTGGTCTCACTCACTCACTCACTCACTCACTCACTCACTCACTCACTCACTCACTCACTCTCACGCGCACTCACTCACTCACTCACTCACTCACTCACTCACTCACTCACTCACTCACTCACTCGTCGGAGAGGTCAGCTTGGTGTTGTTGAGTTGAACACAACCATGGCTGCCACTGTTGCATGATTTACGTCAAGTGCAACATGTCTGGGACACATGGTACAATGAGTCACCTCAGAAATATTTACATTGTCTGTTGGATAAGTTTGAACAATAAATCTGTGGAAGAAATGTTGTAATTCTACCAGCATTTGTTGTCAGCAACACCTGGCTGCATGCAGCATGATGCCGTCATTACCTGGGAAGCAGGACATTTGTAAATGGAAATCTTGAACTGTTTTGTTGGGGACTCGGCACAGGTGTCCAAAGGTGCTTTCCTGGCTGTGCAGAGTTACATCCTTTAGCTGTACAAGGATGTGCTTGTCACAGGTTCAGATGCCAGATTTGATACCAAGTGTAATCTTTGGTTGTCAGCATCACATCCATCCACCGAACTAGGAAACATCAAGGACCTGCATCACTTTGGGCTTTCCACCCAATTTAAGCTGCCACACTGTGGTACTACCACTGATAACTGAACATGAAAAACTGTTCTAAGAGGTGTTTAAGCCCAACTCACTCACTTGTAATTCAGCCATAATAGCAGCGTGTTTATAATCAAGTTTTGCTCAGGCAAACTAGAGATTGGAAGCATGAGCAATGATCCATGCCACTGGGGTACGATACAACGTAGTCAGAACAATGATCCATGCCACTCTGGTAAGATGACACACAGTCAGAACAATGATCCATGCCACGGGGGTACAATACAATGTAGTCGGAACAATGATCCATGCCACTGGGGTACGATGACACGCAGTCAGAACAATGATCCATGCCACTGGGGTACGATGACACGCAGTCAGAACAATGATCCATGCCACTGGGGTACAATACAACGCAGTCAGAACAATGATCCATGCCACTGGGGTACGATGACACGCAGTCAGAACAATGATCCATGCCACTGGGGTACGATACAACGCAGTCAGAACAATGATCCATGCCACTGGAGTATGATACAACGCAGTCAGAACAATGATCCATGCCACTGGGGTATGATGACACGCAGTCAGAACAATGATCCATGCCACTGGGGTACAATACAACGCAGTCAGAACAATGATCCATGCCACTGGGGTACGATACAACACAGTCAGAACAATGATCCATTCCACTGGGGTACAATACAACACAGTCAGAACAATTATCCATGCCACTGGGGTACGATGACACACAGTCAGAACAATGATCCATGCCACTGGGGTACGATACACGCAGTCAGAACAATGATCCATGCCACTGGGGTACAATACAACGCAGTCAGAACAATGATCCATGCCACTGGGGTACGATACAACACAGTCAGAACAATGATCCATTCCACTGGGGTACAATACAACACAGTCAGAACAATTATCCATGCCACTGGGGTACGATGACACACAGTCAGAACAATGATCCATGCCACTGGGGTACGATACAACACAGTCAGAACAATGATCCATTCCACTGGGGTACAATACAACGCAGTCAGAACAATTATCCATGCCACTGGGGTACGATGACACACAGTCAGAACAATGATCCATGCCACTGGGGTACGATACAACACAATCAGAACAATGATCCATGCCACTGGGGTACAATACAACGCAGTCAGAACAATTATCCATGCCACTGGGGTACGATGACACACAGTCAGAACAATGATCCATGCCACTGGGGTACAATACAACGCAGTCAGAACAATGATCCATGCCACTGGCGTACAATACAACGCAGTCAGAACAATGATCCATGCCACTGGGGTACGTGGACACGCAGTCAGAACAATGATCCATGCCACTGGGGCACAATGACACGCAGTCAGAACAATGATCCATGCCACTTGGGCAGAATGACACGAAGTCAGACCACCTGATCCCCATTTAAGAGAACTTTTTATGATAACCATGACAGAAAACAAATTTCTATGTCCTATTGCTAAGCCCCCTTTACTCACTCAGTACCTTGTTTTATCTACCCTTGAAGATTCCGGGGTTGAATAGGTCTTCAGCAACTCATGATTGTTGTAAAAGGTGACTATGCTTGTAGTAAAAGGCTACTAACGGGATCGGGTGGTCAGGCTCGCTGACTTGGTTGATGCAAGTCCAGACTCGATTATTTACAGACCGCCGTCATATAGGTGGAATATTGCTGAGTGCGGCGTAAAACAACAAACCAACCAACCAACCAACCAAACCTTGTTTTATCTAAATATAGGCACAAAACATGATTCAAATTGCTACATTTATGATTGATTTTCCAGTGACAACAAATGAAACCTTTGGGTTGTATTACAGTGTATTATCCGTGTACAAACTGTAACAGTGTTGCATTTCGTTAAAATCCATTGCTCCAATCAAATATGATCATGCTGTGACTCATTAATAAAACTGTGCACTTCTGTGATGTCAAACTCAGGTAGGGCCAGGACAGGTAACTTGGGTACTCAGGTTGGGTGGGTACTCAAGTGAGTCCCGGGTACCCACAGGACTACCCGGACCCGTGGTTAGTCTCATGATGTATTGTTTAATGACAAAAACTATCCAGAACTTCATGGTTGCACTATATACTTACGTTCGCATTTCTTTCTCTGTATGCACACATTCCTTATATATATTTGAGTAAAGATAAAGCTTCAGTCATCTTCAGTGTATTCATGATCAGATTTTTTAATACGTTTATCAAAATAGTTTTTGCCAGGGCTCTGGTAAAACAATTCCCAATGGACATTTTCAATGCAACTCTTGAGAGCTACACCAGGTACCTGGGTAGGGTCGGGCAACAGGGGTTGGGTACCTGGGTAGTAAGCATCGCCTCATCCCGCCCTTACACTCAGACTTGTAATTTCACAATGGGCCAAACTAACAGTGGTGCCCTCTTGCCATGGTTAGACAGTGGAAGTCAATGCTGCTTTTTCAAATTTCCAATACAGATTTCACACCTGAAGTGTTGAGAACAGTGCTTCAAGGTGAGCCTGGAGAGTCTTTTAGTATGGATACTGAAGAGAACACATCACAACATATGCCCAGTCTGCTAGCCCCCTGGATACCCGTAACACTTGGCAGATGCACTACACTGGACAAGGGGCTAGTGCTATTAGTAGTCTGCTGCTAGCAATCTGTAACATGTGTCTGACCATAGTGGAGATAATAACTGGAGTGATGCATTATGACTTCAGTGTCGATCTGAAATGGTACATTGCAGCGGTGCAATCTGCAATACAAGGTGGTATACATGGCACATAATTTTTTTCTGATATGTTTTTTTATTTCTGCACATAAAAGCAGCTGTCTCTTGAATGTGCTGCTAAGGAAGTGACATGACAGGGTTATTTTCATTTATCTATCAAGACATTTTTGGAATTATAGTGAAGCCTGTCCAGTGTCAAGTTGTACATATCACAGTTCAGAACCAGATTTCAATACAAGACAATACCAATCATTTACCGGTATGTAAGGTAAATGACAAGAAGACAGTTAGAGTCCCATGATTGTCTAGTTATGAGCCTTGGTTTGTCAGCACCATGGCTTGTGTTATCATGTGACATTCCCTGTTTGTGTATGACATGGGTACTCTAACACACACACACACACACACACACACACACACACACACACACACACACACACACACACACACACACACACAATCTAGTTCCTCTCCAGTTAAACACATTTAGCTATGATTATTTCGCCTCACAACAATTCAGTTTGTTTGCAACTGGGACTGTTGGATAAAAATACAGATTGTTATTGTAGCTATTTGGAATCTTCCTGTAAATTTGACATTCATAAATGACATGCTAGTATCTAGATCCGTATCTACATCCTATTATGGGCCTGGATAAGTGTGAATTATCCATGCTAAATAGGGCTTTTCAATTAAACACTGAACAATAAATGAATAACAACAATAGAATTACTGATAAAATGCTGTCCACAAGACTGATGTAATGTGATATATTGCCATGGTTACACTTACACACTGCCACATCATGTGGAAAGGACATGGGGGCTAATGCCAAGGGGACAAAACTTTTTGGGTATCAACAAAAACTGAATGTTTTCTCAGAAAGAAATCCTAAAATCCATCTGGTATGTCTGGCAACAGGTGGTTTGTTTGACTGGGTCAGTGAATGTGTGAGAAGAGAATGGTTTTATAGGCTCTGTGTTGTCAGGTAATCTATACTGCAGCTGTCAATACCATTAACGAAGGCAGACTTCTAGCATATGAACATGATGAATTATGATGGAGCAGGACGAACATGATGGAGTTCAAGTATAGACTAGAATATACTTGAGTTTCAGATCAGCGTTAGAAATTGGCACTAGTCATGTAGTCCTTGCCAAACTGCCGAATAGTTAAGGTATCATAAGGACTAGTAGAAATTTACCATTTATAGGCTTTGCTATATGTTGTCATTATAAGGACTAGTGGTCTAAAATGTTAGTTTCTACCGCTGCAGTTTGACATTCTGATCACATGTCAAACCCATGTCATAGAGATGTTTGGATTAATAGATGATTACTAATTTTCCAAGACCAGGTATATGAGCAGTGCTAAGTCCATTTCAACTGATTTGGGAGCGAGTTGAGCAGGGAGAATGAGAAGGCTGATAACAGACAAGGTTTAACATCCAATATCTTATGATTTGTACTTCAGGGATACTGAGATGTTACCATGTTAACGGTTCTAATGAAATTTTGTTTTCATTCATGATTGATCATGATTGGTTATTCATTATGCAATTGTTTTCCAGAAAACAATAGGTGTGTTCAAGCCAAAAGATGAGGAGCCATACGGTCAGCTAAATCCCAAATGGACCAAGTGGATGCACAAGCTGTGTTGTCCGTGCTGCTTCGGCCGCAGCTGTCTGGTGCCCAACCAGGGCTACTTGTCCGAGGCCGGCGCCAGCGTGGTCGACCAGAAGCTGGGACTCAACATCGTCCCCAAAACCAAAGTAAGTCCACCTGGCAGTTGCAGCCATCTTGTTTCAAATAAATGGTTGCAGTGTGAGACCCGTTGTTATGGTGAGTGGGGAAGAGTAAAAACATCAGGATTATAAAAAAGGATGTTGTCAGTTACCTTATGGCCATGGAGTAAAGGACAGGTTTGTTTTTTAGTGAGTTCAATTTCTTCAATTTTACACCTTTTATGTGAACTATGAAAAACCCTTGCTCTCCGAGCCCTACACTTGTCCCCATCCCTTGCTCTCCTAGCTGTACACTTGTCCCCAACCCTTGCTCTCCAAGCTCTACACTTGTCCCCAACCCTTGCTCTCCTAGCTCTACACTTGTCCCCATCCCTTGCTCTCCAAGCTCTACACTTGTCCCCAACCCTTGCTCTCCTCGCTCTACACTTGTCCCCAACCCTTGCTCTCCTAGCTCTACACTTGTCCCCATCCCTTGCTCTCCAAGCTCTACACTTGTCCCCAACCCTTGCTCTCCTCGCTCTACACTTGTCCCCAACCCTTGCTCTCCTAGCTCTACACTTGTCCCCAACCCTTGCTCTCCTAGCTCTACACTTGTCCCCAACCCTTGCTCTCCAAGCTCTACACTTGTCCCCAACCCTTGCTCTCGGAGCCATACACTTGTCCCCAACCCTTGCTCTCCTAGCTCTACACTTGTCCCCAACCCTTGCTCTCCTAGCTCTACACTTGTCCCCAACCCTTGCTCTCCTAGCTCTACACTTGTCCCCAACCCTTGCTCTCCTCGCTCTACACTTGTCCCCATCCCTTGCTCTCCTAGCTCTACACTTGTCCCCAACCCTTGCTCTCCTAGCTCTACACTTGTCCCCAACCCTTGCTCTCCAAGCTCTACACTTGTCCCCAACCCTTGCTCTCGGAGCCATACACTTGTCCCCAACCCTTGCTCTCCTAGCTCTACACTTGTCCCCAACCCTTGCTCTCCTAGCTCTACACTTGTCCCCAACCCTTGCTCTCCTAGCTCTACACTTGTCCCCAACCCTTGCTCTCGGAGCCATACACTTGTCCCCAACCCTTGCTCTCCTAGCTCTACACTTGTCCCCAACCCTTGCTCTCCTAGCTCTACACTTGTCCCCAACCCTTGCTCTCCAAGCTCTACACTTGTCCCCATCCCTTGCTCTCCTAGCTCTACACTTGTCCCCAACCCTTGCTCTCCAAGCTGTACACTTGTCCCCAACCCTTGCTCTCCTAGCTCTACACTTGTCCCCAACCCTTGCTCTCCTAGCTGTACACTTGTCCCCAACCCTTGCTCTCCAAGCTCTACACTTGTCCCCAACCCTTGCTCTCCTAGCTCTACACTTGTCCCCATCCCTTGCTCTCCTAGCTCTACACTTGTCCCCAACCCTTCCTCTCCTAGCTCTACATTTGTCCCCGACCCTTGCTCTCCTCGCTCTACACTTGTCCCCAACCCTTGCTCTCCTAGCTCTACACTTGTCCCCAACCCTTGCTCTCCTAGCTCTACACTTGTCCCCAAACCTTGCTCTCCTAGCTCTACATTTGTCCCCAACCCTTGCTCTCCTAGCTCTACATTTGTCCCCGACCCTTGCTCTCCTAGCTCTACACTTGTCCCCATCCCTTGCTCTCCTCGCTCTACACTTGTCCCCAACCCTTGCTCTCCTAGCTCTACACTTGTCCCCAACCCTTGCTCTCCTAGCTCTACACTTGTCCCCAACCCTTGCTCTCCTAGCTCTACATTTGTCCCCGACCCTTGCTCTCCTAGCTCTACACTTGTCCCCATCCCTTGCTCTCCAAACTCTACACTTGACCCCATCCCTTGCTCTCCTAGCTCTACATTTGTCCCCGACCCTTACTCTCCCAACTCTACACTTGACCCCATCCCTTGCTCTCCTAGCTCTACACTTGTCCCCAACCCTTGCTCTCCAAGCTCTACACTTGTCCCCAACCCTTGCTCTCCAAGCTCTACACCTGTCCCCAACCCTTGCTCTCCAAGCTCTACACTTGTCCCCAACCCTTGCTCTCCTAGCTCTACACTTGTCCCCAACCCTTGCTCTCCCAACTCTACACTTGTCCCCAACCCTTGCTCTCCTAGCTCTACACTTGTCCCCAACCCTTGCTCTCCTAGCTGTACACTTGTCCCCAACCCTTGCTCTCCAAGCTCTACACTTGTCCCCGACCCTTGCTCTCCTAGCTCTACACTTGTCCCCAACCCTTGCTCTCCAAGCTCTACACCTGTCCCCAACCCTTGCTCTCCAAGCCCTACACTTGTCCCCAACCCTTGCTCTCCTAGCTCTACACTTGTCCCCAACCCTTGCTCTCCTAGCTCTACACTTGTCCCCATCCCTTGCTCTCCTAGCTCTACACTTGTCCCCAACCCTTCCTCTCCTAGCTGTACACTTGTCCCCAACCCTTGCTCTCCTAGCTCTACACTTGTCCCCAACCCTTGCTCTCCAAGCTCTACACTTGTCCCCAACCCTTGCTCTCCAAACTCTACACTTGTCCCCAACCCTTGCTCTCCTAGCTCTACATTTGTCCCCAACCCTTGCTCTCCTAGCTCTACATTTGTCCCCGACCCTTGCTCTCCTAGCTCTACACTTGTCCCCATCCCTTGCTCTCCTCGCTCTACACTTGTCCCCAACCCTTGCTCTCCTAGCTCTACACTTGTCCCCAACCCTTGCTCTCCTAGCTCTACACTTGTCCCCAACCCTTGCTCTCCTAGCTCTACATTTGTCCCCGACCCTTGCTCTCCTAGCTCTACACTTGTCCCCATCCCTTGCTCTCCAAACTCTACACTTGACCCCATCCCTTGCTCTCCTAGCTCTACATTTGTCCCCGACCCTTACTCTCCCAACTCTACACTTGACCCCATCCCTTGCTCTCCTAGCTCTACACTTGTCCCCAACCCTTGCTCTCCAAGCTCTACACTTGTCCCCAACCCTTGCTCTCCAAGCTCTACACCTGTCCCCAACCCTTGCTCTCCAAGCTCTACACTTGTCCCCAACCCTTGCTCTCCTAGCTCTACACTTGTCCCCAACCCTTGCTCTCCCAACTCTACACTTGTCCCCAACCCTTGCTCTCCTAGCTCTACACTTGTCCCCAACCCTTGCTCTCCTAGCTGTACACTTGTCCCCAACCCTTGCTCTCCAAGCTCTACACTTGTCCCCGACCCTTGCTCTCCTAGCTCTACACTTGTCCCCAACCCTTGCTCTCCAAGCTCTACACCTGTCCCCAACCCTTGCTCTCCAAGCTCTACACTTGTCCCCAACCCTTGCTCTCCTAGCTCTACACTTGTCCCCAACCCTTGCTCTCCCAACTCTACACTTGTCCCCAACCCTTGCTCTCCTAGCTCTACACTTGTCCCCAACCCTTGCTCTCCTAGCTCTACACTTGTCCCAAACCCTTGCTCTCCAAGCTCTACACTTGTCCCCAACCCTTGCTCTCCAAGCTCTACACTTGTCCCCGACCCTTGCTCTCCTAGCTGTACACTTGTCCCCAACCCTTGCTCTCCAAGCTCTACACTTGTCCCCAACCCTTGCTCTCCCAGCTGTACACTTGTCCCTAACCCTTGCTCTCCAAGCTCTACACCTGTCCCCAACCCTTGCTCTCCTAGCTCTACACTTGTCCCCAACCCTTGCTCTCCCAACTCTACACTTGTCCCCAACCCTTGCTCTCCAAGCTCTTCACTTGTCCCCAACCCTTGCTCTCCAAGCTCTACACCTGTCCCCAACCCTTGCTCTCCAAGCTCTACACCTGTCCCCAACCCTTGCTCTCCTCGCTCTACACTTGTCCCCATCCCTTGCTCTCCTAGCTCTACACTTGTCACCAACCCTTGCTCTCCTAGCTGTACACTTGTCCCCAACCCTTGCTCTCCAAGCTCTACACTTGTCCCCAACCCTTGCTCTCCTAGCTCTACACTTGTCCCCAACCCTTGCTCTCCAAGCTCTACACTTGTCCACAACCCTTGCTCTCCTAGCTGTACACTTGTCCACAACCCTTGCTCTCCTAGCTCTACACTTGTCCCCAACCCTTGCTCTCCCAACTCTACACTTGACCCCATCCCTTGCTCTCCTAGATCTAATCTTGACTCCTTGCCGTCCAATGATTGTCATATTCTTGACTGTTGCAGGTTGTGAAGCTGGCAAGTGATACATTTAACTACAATGCAATAGACAGGGCAAAAGCAGTCACAAAGAAGAACATCCGGGACCACGTGCCCGCAGTGGGGAAACGCTTCAAGAGGATAGGCTTGCCACCGAAGGTAGGTTGTAGATACCAGCCATGAGCATGGTGAGTGAGATGTGGTGCCAGGCATGTTTCTACAGTGCTACATGCTTGTAGTTGACAGGGCTTTACAATGGCATGTCGTGGCTTGTCTAAAGACTCCGTGGTTTGTCATGGCTGGTCTAAAGAGTCCACGGATAGGTGACTGTCGCCTATGGTTGATGGTCCAGTTTCCCACCACAGCATTTGGACTGACCTGTGTTCCTATGTGGACACTCATGCACTATCTACACAATTCTTGTGGTTGCTGACTAGTGACTAGTACAACTAAGTACAGGTATTAATGTATCAGTAATGTCTACCCAGTATGTATTTCAAATTCATATTTGGGCATTGTGTAGTCTTAGATCTGATTATTATCAGTAAGCCTTTTTGAACCGAACAGAATGTTAGTAACTCACACTTGGTAGTACATTGTCCATTTGAGAAATTATTCTGCTAGAAAACTACTTCTACTTGTAGTATTAATAATACATTTTTCTTTCTCTAGAACGGGTCATTCCAGACGTTTGTGAATGGTTTCAAGGATGCAGACTACTGGCTCCGGAAGTTTGACAATGAGTCCCTACCAGAATCCACTGCCAAAACATTCCAGCATCTTTTTGAGAGGCTGGTTGTTTTAGATTACATCATTAGGAACACAGGTCAGTTGACAGACGGGTGGAGTTAGCATGCAGAACAAGCTTGGAATAGTTGAATATTGATGTCAGCCAAAACAGGTTGTGTTGAAATATCATCCAATACAGGGGGCACGGGTGGCCCAGTCGTCTAAGGCGCCGCGATTCGCTGTGCAGAGTTGCGTCCCTGGGCATGCCAGAAACCTATGATTGTGGGTTCGAATCCCGGTTCGCCCCAATTATGTTTCTAGGTTTGTCAGAACCATACCCGTGCTCATGGGTTTCACTGAAGTGGTAAACGTCTGAGACCTGCATCACTTCGGGCTTTCCCCCCACATTAAGCTGACACGCCGCGATATAACTGGAATACTGTTAAAAGCGGCGTTAAACCCAACTCACTCACTCACTCACTCATCGAATACAATTTTCCAACTTGAGACACACTTCTTTCAGAAGAGAGTCTGTTTTGGGTCCAGTTGTCTAAGGTGCTGCAGCTAACCGAGAGGAGTTATTTCCCTTGGCCAGGATCTGTTGATGAGTGTTTTGAACTGATTTGACTCAGAGTCTGCTTCATGTCTTTGTTTGTGGGTTTCTGCCATTTGTCAGCATGTAACATGTCTATGACCTGTGTTACTTCAAACTTACGTCCCGTGTTCAGCCTGACAGACACTTTTCAAAGAGGTGTTAACCCAAGATGCTGAGTGTTATGTCAGACAGAAGATGGCACCATCTGCACCCCATCATAGGATGGCCGCATGTTCCAGGTTGCTGCTACTCACTGACAAGTGTTGTGGTTTAAAGTTAGACAGCACTGAAGACCTGGGGTAGAATAGGTCTTCAGCAACCCATGTGTGCCGTAAGAGGCGACTAACGGGAACATTGTGGTCAGACTCCATGACTTGGTTGATGCTTGTCATCTTATCGCTATTGTGAAGATCGATGCTTATGATGTCAATCACTAGATTGTTAGGTCCAGCTCGATTATTTACAGTCTGCCTTCATATAGCTGGAATAATGCTGATAGCGTCGTTAAACAACAAACAACCACATGTGCTGTTGTATAGACATGTAGTCTATGGCGTCATTGTTGTTGTAATACATTTTCAACCTACTCTTGTTTGCAGACCGAGGCAATGACAACTGGTTAATCAAGTATGACATAGCTACAACAGCACAAGACAGCAGAGAGGTGGGTCATGTAGATTCATATTGGCAAGACAGCAGAGAGGTGGGTCATGTAGATACATATTGGCAAGACAGCAGAGAGGTGGGTCATGTAGATACACTTTGGCAAGACAGCAGACAGGGGGGTCATGTAGATACATATTGGCAAGACAGCAGAGAGGTGGGTCATGTAGATACACTTTGGCAAGACAGCAGAGAGGGGGGTCATGTAGATACATATTGGCAAGACAGCAGAGAGGTGGGTCATGTAGATACACTTTGGCAAGACAGCAGACAGGGGGGTCATGTAGATACATATTGGCAAGACAGCAGAGAGGGGGGTCATGTAGATACACTTTGGCAAGACAGCAGAGAGGTGGGTCATGTAGATACATATTGGCAAGACAGCAGATAGGGTGGTCATGTAGATACACTTTGGCAAGACAGCAGAGAGGGGGGTCATGTAGATACATATTGGCAAGACAGCAGAGAGGTGGGTCATGTAGATACATATTGGCAAGACAGCAGAGAGGGGGGTCATGTAGATACATATTGGCAAGACAGCAGAGAGGGGGGTCATGTAGATACATATTGGCAAGACAGCAGAGAGGGTGGTCATGTAGATACATATTGGCAAGACAGCAGAGAGGTGGGTCATGTAGATACATATTGGCAAGACAGCAGAGAGGGGGTTCATGTAGATACACTTTGGCAAGACAGCAGAGAGGGGGTTCATGTAGATACATATTGGCAAGACAGCAGATAGGGTGGTCATGTAGATACAATATGGCAAGACAGCAGAGAGGGGGGTCATGTAGATACATATTGGCAAGACAGCAGATAGGGTGGTCATGTAGATACATATTGGCAAGACAGCAGAGAGGTGGGTCATGTAGATACATATTGGCAAGACAGCAGAGAGGTGGGTCATGTAGATACATATTGGCAAGACAGCAGATAGGGTGGTCATGTAGATACATATTGGCAAGACAGCAGAGAGGTGGGTCATGTAGATACATATTGGCAAGACAGCAGAGAGGTGGGTCATGTAGATACATATTGGCAAGACAGCAGAGAGGGGGGTCATGTAGATACATATTGGCAAGACAGCAGAGAGGGGGGTCATGTAGATACATATTGGCAAGACAGCAGAGAGGTGGGTCATGTAGATACATATTGGCAAGACAGCAGAGAGGTGGGTCATGTAGATACATATTGGCAAGACAGCAGAGAGGTGGGTCATGTAGATACATATTGGCAAGACAGCAGAGAGGGGGGTCATGTAGATACATATTGGCAAGACAGCAGAGAGGGGGGTCATGTAGATACATATTGGCAAGACAGCAGATAGGGTGGTCATGTAGATACAATATGGCAAGACAGCAGAGAGGTGGGTCATGTAGATACATATTGGCAAGACAGCAGAGAGGTGGGTCATGTAGATACATATTGGCAAGACAGCAGATAGATGGGTCATGTAGATACAATATGGCAAGACAGCAGAGAGGTGGGTCATGTAGATACATATTGGCAAGACAGCAGAGAGGTGGGTCATGTAGATACATATTGGCAAGACAGCAGAGAGAGGGGTCATGTAGATACAATATGGCAAGACAGCAGAGAGGTGGGTCATGTAGATACATATTGGCAAGACAGCAGAGAGATGGGTCATGTAGATTCATATGTTTGCTTGGTGGAGCTGTAATATTGCTGTCTGTGTAAAACACAAAGCACTCATGTGAACATGGTAACAACATGTGTTGTTTATTTACAGGACTCGGAATGGAGTTTAGTGGAGAACCCTGAAATAAACATAGCAGCGATAGACAATGGTTTAGCATTTCCCTACAAACACCCTGACGAGTGGCGAGCGTGTAAGTACATTTGGCAATTACAGCAGAGGTACATATGAACGGACAACCACCACAGCAGTGGTACACATGAACACAGCAGAGGTACACATGAACAGAGCAGAGGTACATATGAACAAACAACCACCACAGCAGTGGTACACATGAACACAGCAGAGGTACACATGAACAGAGCAGAGGTACATATGAACGAACAACCACCACAGCAGTTGTACACATGAACACAGCAGAAGTACACATGAACACAGCAGAGGTACACATGAACACAGCAGAAGTACACATGAACACAGCAGAGGTACACATGAACACAGCAGAAGTACACATGAACACAGCAGAGGTACACATGAACACAGCAGAGGTACACATGAACACAGCAGAGCTACACATGAACACAGCAGAGGTACACATGAACTCAGCAGAAGTACACATGAACACAGCAGAAGTACACATGAACACAGCAGAGGTACACATGAACACAGCAGAGGTACACATGAACACAGCAGAGCTACACATGAACACAGCAGAGCTACACATGAACACAGCAGAGCTACACATGAACACAGCAGAAGTACACATGAACACAGCAGAGCTACACATGAACACAGCAGAAGTACACCTGAACACAGCAGAGGTACACATGAACACAGCAGAGGTACACATGAACACAGCAGAGGTACACATGATCAGAGCAGAGGTACACATGAACACAGCAGAGGTACACATGAACACAGCAGAGGTACACATGAACACAGCAGAGGTACACATGAACACAGCAGAGCTACACATGAACACAGCAGAGCTACACATGAACATAGCAGAGGTACACATGAACACAGCAGAGGTACACATGAACACAGCAGAGGTACACATGAACAGAGCAGAGGTACACATGAACACAGCAGAGGTACGCATGAACACAGCAGAGGTACACATGAACACAGCAGAGGTACACATGAACACAGCAGAGGAACACATGAACACAGCAGAGGTACACATGTACACAGCAGAGGTACACATGAACACAGCAGAAGTACACATGAACACAGCAGAGGTACACATGAACACAGCAGAGCTACACATGAACACAGCAGAGCTACACATGTACACAGCAGAGGTACACATGATCAGAGCAGAGGTACACATGAACACAGCAGAGGTACACATGAACACAGCAGAGGTACACATGAACACAGCAGAGGTACACATGAACACAGCAGAGGTACACATGAACACAGCAGAGGTACACATGATCAGAGCAGAGGAACACATGAACACAGCAGAGGTACACATGATCAGAGCAGAGGTACACATGAACACAGCAGAGCTACACATGAACACAGCAGAGGTACACATGAACACAGCAGAGGTACACATGAACACAGCAGATGTACACATGAACACAGCAGAGGTACACATGAACACAGCAGAGGTACACATGAACACAGCAGAGGTACACATGAACACAGCAGAGGTACACATGAACACAGCAGAGGTACGCATGAACACAGCAGAGGTACACATGAACAGAGCAGAGGTACACATGAACACAGCAGAGCTACACATGTACACAGCAGAGGTACACATGATCAGAGCAGAGGTACACATGAACAGAGCAGAGGTACACATGAACACAACTGAAGTACACATATCTTTAGTGGAACTATTCAAATATTTGTGCATTGTATTTGTGCTTTGAACAGTTCTTAGGAGTAATTGGTTGGTAGGAGTCAGTTTTTTGTTGAGAATGTAACACTTTGTGGTATCTGGTCACTTAGGAGACGTTACTTATATGCTACTTTTGTTACTGTGTTACTTATATGAAGTTAATCTGTCACATCAGTGTCACTGTCAACCTCGTGAGCCTCCCACGGTAGTGTTGGTTATTTTGTCTATGATGTCATGTCCTGTTGTCAGACCCCTACCACTGGGCATGGTTACCTCAGGCCAAGATCCCCTTCTCCCAGGACGTGAAGGACCTCGTGTTACCTCAGCTGGCCGACATGAACTTTGTACAAGACCTCTGTGATGATCTCTTTGAACTCTTTCAGGTAGGAGCTCAGTGGGTAGGGGAGAGGGTGGGGGTGGGGGTGGGGGTGGGGGAGGGTGTGGGTAGGGGAGAGGGTGTGGGTGGGGAGAGGGTGTGGGTGGGAGAGAGGGTGTGGGTCAGGAGTGGGTGTGGTAGGGGGAGAGGGTGTGGGTGGGAGAGAGGGTGTGGGTCAGGAGTGGGCGTGGGTGGGGAGAGGGTGTGGGTGGGGGAGGGTGTGGATGGGGAGAGATGGTGTGGGTGGGGAGAGGGTGGGGGTGGGGGAGGGTGTGGGTGGGAGGGAGGATGTAGGTCAGGAGTGGGTGTGGGTGGGAGAGAGGGTGTGGGTCAGGAGTGGATGTGGGTGGGGGAGGATGTGGGTGGGAGAGAGGGTGTGGGTCAGGAGTCGGTGTGGGTGGGGGAGAGAGTGTGGCTGGGGAGATGGTGGGGAGAGGTGGAAGATGGATGAGGTGGTAATATAGACATTCATGTGATCTTGTTGGCATTGTAATTACATTGATTGAACATATAAATTAAGGCATAATTGATGTAATAGTCCGACAGTTGATTTTGGAAAGAGATGGCTGTGAAGGTTTTCTTTATTGAATGAATGACACATTTGGTTCTTGAATGGATGCTAAAAGATAATCTAGTATTGTTTTCAGTGTAAAATGTGTGCAAGAGTAGATATACAACTAAGTTGGGTTTTGTTTACATTTTTTTGACATTGTGTGTTGTGTGTGAATCTTTGACTGCAGGGTTTGAAGTTGTGGAGCTCTCCTTGTGGGATGTGATTATGATAGTCATGACAAGTAGACCAGTCCACGTACATAGGGCTTGTACAGTGTCTGTTGTGTAGCTGGAATACTCACAGTGTTACTGGCAACATCCTTGTAGCTATCTGCTGCTCAGAGTAGAGTTGGAGGTGGTCAGAGGATCTGAAATATTCTGACATGGTTTTGTCCAAATGCTGTCTTATCTCATAATTTAACCTTTACTTACAAATTGCATAAACACATGCGTAACTTGTTTGATTTCCTTCTTGCAGACTGACCAGGGTTTTGACAAGAGTACTTTCGAGAAACAAATGTCTGTGATGAGGGGACAGGTGAGTTATCTCCCTTTGGTTGCGATGGGCTGTTCTTCAGGCAGTTTGTTTTGAGTGCTCAAGTAGGTCATCAGTCTGTCACAATAGCTGCTTGGTGTGAATAGCACTAACACCTTCACAAGATCAATATTCACTGGTTAGTCATTCCCAGACCTGATGGAGCTTTGTATGCAGCTGTAATATTATTGACGGCTGCTTCTGTCCCACTGAATCCTGTCACCCCTACATACCTTGAAGTGTGTGCGCATTAAAGCTGTACTATTGCTGGGTGGGCCAGTGATCTCAGGTGCCTCTGTCTGCTGTGCAGGGTTGTGTCCCATGGTAGTACTAGGATCCACTGATCATGGGTTTGAATCCCACATTTACCCCGATTGTCACCCTTGGTTCCTTGGTCTGTTATGTTCATTCCTGTAGGTTCACCAGAGGGGTAAACAGTTTCTACTTGCATCACTTTGGACTTTCCTTACACGTATAGCTCAGATGATATCATGAAAATACTTTGACCAAAGAGGTGACTAAGCTTGTCGTAAAAGGCAACTAACAGGATCAGACTCGCTGACTTGGTTGATGCATGTCATCGATCCCAATTGCGTGGATCGATGCTCATAATATTAATCACTGGATTGTCTGGTCCAGACTCGATTATTTACAGATCGCTGTCATATAGCTGGAATATTGCTGAGTGAGGCGTTAAACAACAAACAAACAAACAAAAACAAACAAACTTTGACCAAACCTTGAACTCTCCATCCTCCTTCCAGATCCTGAATCTGACCCAGGCCTTAAAGGACGGCAAGTCTCCAGTCCAGCTGGTGCAGATGCCCGTGGTCACGGTGGAGAGGAACCGGGCGGGGCTGGCTCGGACACGCCTTGATAGCGATACATTCACGCAAAGTTTTGCTCACAGAGCACCATTCTTCTCCTGGTGCTGACGAAATTGTTATCCTAAAAACTATGTCTTGTGATAAAATATCTCTTGCTTGTCTACATTGAAATGAGGTATACTTTATCCCGAAACTATTCATGGAGGGAAGCTTGCTGTCTCTGGTTAGACATGTGTGGTGATAAGCTACGTGTGAATGAGTGTACTTGGCATGTTCGATGGACTTAAGCTTCAGTGCAGGAGGGTCAGCGCCAGAGCGTGCTGGACGTAGTATTAGCATTCAGATTGTACATTCCTGTACCCCACTCATATCCTCATGGTTTACCCCCCTTATAACCCAAATAATATATTTTCTACTTTATGATCCTGTAGCATCCCCGATTGTCATTATAATATCCAAGCTTCTACACATCTGTAATATGAAACATGTTCACAAGGCCGCAACAAATTGATTACTTGTTTGTCAGAAATTGCCTCCTTTTTATAGTGAATTTTAGGAGTAGATTACAAAAAGGTACTTGGGCCAAATAAACTGCTAGGCACAGAACTGGAGTCCCAAATTAATCAATGTGATCACTGCATCAGACAATAAGCTGATATTGTGTTCCTTTGGGAGAAATTATGAACAAGTAATCACTTTGGGGTGCCCTAACTGTCATAATAGTATAGCATCTGTATGAACTTAATTTCACAACAAATATTACCGTATTCGACGTAATAAGCACCCTGCTCTAATAACCGCCCACGGCGATATTTGCTGATATATTGGCAAGTAAACAATCCTAATTAGCACCCCTTCCGATTGATCAATGTACACAAGACTTATTTATTCGCATATATGCACACTCGTGTGTTATATGCACCCTTAATTATGGGCAATTAAATTCTGGAAAAATATATCTGTCGTACATAAACATTTTAGACTGTCACCATAAACGATGAAATTTATCTTTCAACTCTGTTTTTTTTCCACCAAAATAATATTCTAATAAGAGCCCCCTATTTCTAATTTTGAGAGCGCCCTGGGCGCTTATTACGTCGAATACGGAATGTCAAATATTTAAGATGATTTCATTTGGGTGCAAGTTTGCCTTACCACCAGAAATACTTGTAGCAAATTAAGAGAAATATGCTGATTGTATGAGACCATTGTAAGAAGTATTTATCAATTATTGTTTATGTTGATATTTCCTTCAGTGCCAAATGCTTGATAAGGATGTACAACCCCAAAGCTGAAAGAGAAGGAAAACTAAACAGTAGTCTGGATTCACAGTTGCTACTATATCACGGAGGTCACAGGCCAATCTTCCGCCCCAAGTCAACAGCAAATTTCTTTAGAGGCATATATTTGAGAATCCTAGATAAGTCCCTGGAGGTATTCCTTGAAAGAAAATCATGATTTAAAATAAGGTAATATAGATTGCCATATTTGTTGTCTGAACTGTATTTCTTGCGATGGGATTGCATATGTTTGTTCAAACATTTTCTATCTAGAACATTTGAAATATCCAGATGAAATGCATTCAGGTTTGATCTATTGATGACTTACAATGCATTTTGAGAGTGGAGGCAGGCACCGGGAAGATTGGTCAAGTTAAACTGAAGCGTGTGTTCATTACACATCCTTGCATGGAGTGAAGTGATATTTATTGTAAACAGTTTACTTTTAGTACCAGACGTAAGACTTTTGCGAGCCTTCAGTCATGTTCCTAGGTGTGTCAGTCCTCTCTGTGAGATTAACACACCAAACTAACAGTGAAGCAATATCAAAAGAAAATACCTCAACGGGAGAAAGCATGAAACCAATGAGAGTAACATTTGATGGTTGTGGTCGCGCAGATCTCACTGTCAGTTCAGAGGGAGGATTAGTCTGTCATACAGACTCTGAAACAAATATATCCAGTACAGCCCATTCAAGTCTATAATGTTTGGCAAGTCTAGATTACTGCAGTATCAGGAATGAAGAAAGTCTCTGGGCTCCTTTTTATTATATTTTTTAACTATAATTTAACAACTGTTTTTTTCTGCAAAATATGTTCATTTCAGAGACTAGATGTCAGTCTATGGGAGGATCCTCCTGTCATTTCGTCACTCGGCTTACGTCCTCTAATCACTGGTCTCCTGGGTCTGTATCCCAAACCTGTGTAGGAAGACGCGTCTATATTAGACGATGTCCATGTTGTGAGAGCTGTGCTCCAATTAGAATGTGACAATCTGTAGAATTCAGGGATGACAGTTATGGCAATGGGTGGGAATCATTTAGGAGAACATTTAGGCATGAGATAGGGTGATACACAGATGATCAGAGAAATTCCAATCCTTGTAAGGTTGCCATCCCTCAAAGGTACGTCAAAGTGATATTTAGGCAGAGATATCTCGGATACTTTGTCATTGACTTACAATAGCTGCCGTGAAATGGCACTTTGTGCTGCGAGTTCATACTTTCAAAACATGTAATTCAAAACATGTAATTCAAAATGCCAGACTACCTAAAAATAATACCTATTTTTCAGTAGGAGTGTATAGTTTAGGATAGTCACAAGTAACTCTTCCATCCCTGTGTGTTTAAAGCTGCCATGTTATGCCATGAGAGACTGCCTTGGAGATAAAATGTTTCGATTGGCTGGTGGGGAACCTAGGGGTGTTCTGGGTTACAACACAGGTCTCCAGCAGCCTATACTTACTGTAGTGTGACCTGTTAGTTCCGGGGGCACGGGGGCCCATTCGCTATGCATAGTTGCATCCCTTGGGCACTGCAGAAACCTATGATTGTGAGTTCGAATCCTGGTATGCCCCGATTATGTTTCTAGTTTAGTTAGCACCATGCCCGTGCTCATGGGTTTCACCAAAGTGGTAAACGTCGGAGACCTGCATCACTTCGGCCTTTCCTCCCACATTAAGCTGACACGCCGTGATATCACTGGACTTCTGTTTAGAGCGGTGTTAAACCCAACTCACTGTTGGATCAGGTGGTAAGGCCGTGTCTCTTGGTTGATAGCATGTCATATCCCATTTGCATGGAGTCTAGTCCAGACTTGATTAGTTACAGAATGCCATCATGTAGCTGGAATATTGCTGAGTGTGCCAATACAACAACAAACAAACAAATGGTGGGAAACCCTGCCTTTGAAGACGTCTTCATCACATCTGACAACATAATACAAACATTGTACTGTGGAGACACTTTGTGATTTAGTTGGAATGTCTGTGTGTTCAAGTCATTGTAATATAGGCATTCATGTGATCTTGTTGGCATTGTAATTACATTGATTGAACATATAAATTAAGGCATAATTGATGTAATAGTCCGACAGTTGATTTTGGAAAGAGATGGCTGTGAAGGTTTTGTTCATTGAATGAATGACACATTTGGTTCTTGAATGGATGCTAAAAGATAATCTAGTATTGTTTCCAGTGTAAAATGTGTGCAAGAGTAGATATACAACTAAGTTGGGGTTTTTTATGAGAAGAGGAAGCAAGGAAAAGACAGCTACATTTGAAGTAGTTAGATTATTTTTGCTCATTAGAATAATCATCTATGACAGAAGGTAATTGACTACCTTCTCAATTGTCAGTTATCAGCCATAAATCAAAGCCTAACAAGACACTGCAACAATTACTTTCTGAAAGAAATGAGTCGGCTATTTTACAAGGCAGTAAGAATGCCTGACAAAAAAACAACTGGATGATTGACACAACTACCATGTGTCAATCTTTGAGGACTAGATGTTTGATATCATCATAACCATGTACACCTTCTCATGTCTGTTTCAATCACTGGATAAAAATGGATCAAGTTGAAGGTTTAGGTGGTTGCCAAGATCACAATCCTTCTTATCTTTGTAGCCTGCTTTATCCTGTAGATGAGGGGGTCCTTAATGCCTATACAAAGAGTATGACAAGTATTCAGGCTTAATCAGGGAAAAGCTGTGTGGGGCAAGGTGTAGGAAGTAGGACCAGAGCTTCTGGCAGCATGTAGGGAATCTGCTAGTGATGATGTTCTGTATGGCATCCAGCGGGAATCTGTTGATTCTGGGGGCACACTGTTGACTGAAACGCCACGTCTTTCACAAGGAGGCATTTAGTTGCTGATTGTTGCTGATAGTTGCATCCAACATGTCTTCAGAGAGCATGGGATTTGTGTTCTTTATTTGTGATGTTTGTTGGTGTCTTGTTTACCTTGTAGCTGACAGAGTTTAGTGTTTCATGAAGGCAGGGTTGAGGAGAGAGTGTAGATCCAGGTGTTGAATTCATAAGGAATCATGCAGAAGAGACATTTTGTTTGCTCATCTTGACATAGTCAGTGATGGCTTGTGTTATTGGTTTTGTCCATCACAGTTAGAACTCTTCCTCTGCAGCAGTACTGAGCAGATCAGTACTATGTCTCCTATCTCACTCTGGCTAAGGGAAGCATTTTCTTTTTGAAAAATTCAAAATGCCTGTTAATTAACAAATGGGAATTAGAGACAAAGCTTTTATGCTTAAAACTTCTTCTATGTTACCATAAGAAGATATTGTTTTGAAATTATCAGACAGAAATGAGAATATAATTGTTACATACTTACAGTGAAGTAAGATTTATTTTGAAGTACAAAATGGCTGTAAAAGCACAGAGACATAAATAGAGGTTATCACTCGAGTGTGTTTAGGGATGGTAAATATCCTGAATTAGGAATAAACATAGTGTTTTGCGAGCCTCTATGTACGAATATGACCCCAGCGGATATCGTTTTATGGCTTTATCCAGCTCAGAAACCCACCCATTATATGATAGAGTTAATACCAGCCAAGAGTTCAATGACGCCATCATCATGACGGGATCGGGTGGTCAGGCTCGCTGACTTGGTTGATGCATGTCATCATATCCCAATTGCGTGGATCAATGCTTATGATGTCAATTAATGGATTGTCTGGTCCAGACTCGATTATTTACAGACTGCTGTCATATAGCTGGAATATTGCCAAGTGCGGCGTTAAACAACAAACAAACAAACATCATCATGTGGAATATAATAGTAACCTATTTATATTTAAGGTTTCTCAAGCAAACAGCTTTATGTTTAAGCATCTTATCTGTGTTTGAATCAATCTTATAAGAGTATGTCAGGTTTGTCAAAAGTCAAAGCTGTGTCTTGTATCTGAAATGTGGGTTCCATCTGTTGATGCTTTAGCTTTCATGATTTCACTTTAAGTATCAGAATGTCATAAATCAAGTTACGGGACACAATATGGACAATCTGTTGAAACACTGTATGAATGAGGTTCACCAGACATTACACTAGTAGCAGGACTTGATGGTTCCAGCTGAGAGTTGGTTGTGCAACAACAAGGGTGTTTCTTTTCTTTCAAATTTTCGTTAAATCGAGTAGATGTTGGTAAAAGTGTTGGGTGAAAGGTTTCTCATCAATTCAGATTATGTTATCTTTTAGGACTTTTAAGTCCTATTATTTACATTGTGGTGAGTGGCGTGCATGGTAGTGATAGTTTGGTTTAGTTTTTTTAATAAGACATTTGATTTCACTACTGGCATGTATTACCCCTGGATAGGATTGCACTCCAGACACCAGATGCATAATTCACCAAAGGAGAAGTAAAATTCTTTTCATAGAGGCATATTTTCTTTCATGTAGCCAAAACATTGAGAAATTTGTTTCTCACCAATTTTATCATTTGAAGCAATGAACATCCCTGCATGAAAAAGCATATTTTTTCCCCTTTATTTAAAAATGAAATTTCTGACATCATGGTTGCTCATTTTTCCAAGCTTCTTTTTCTAAAAGTCTTTGCTTGAAAACAGAAGTTGTTAAGTTTCAGCCTTGTTTCCCTTCTCTGAATTCATATCAAGCACCTGTTAATCAGTCCTGCTTGCAAAGCGTTGTACATGAATGAGCTGATGTACTTGTCAACTCAAGACCAGGCCCTTCTGCTGTCTAATTGCCTTATTGAACTATGTATATACAAGTGTCCCATTTCATTGTACCAGTGATTGTCTTGAATATTTGTCTATTTTATCATTCCATGAACCATTTATTGTGTATTGATATATGTATATAAGAACTAAAGCTGTAAATACTTATTGTGAATAATATTAAATGTCTTCCTCATAAAAGAAGTGTTGTGTTTTATTTCATTTTTTAAATTACTTCTAAACATGAAATATGTGGTTGCCTTAAGTCTGGATGATTAGAAATGAGTACGGTATACTCTTTAAAAAAACATAGGGCATCATGGAAAATAAATGTTAACATCAAGTATTAAAACAAAGGTAGGCAATGACAACAAAGGTCCCATGCAAGAACGTTTGTGTCTATAAAACTTAACACCAAAACACATCCTATAGTTTGCACGTGCCTCACAGTATATAATAGTGCCAACACGTGCATAGGATGTGATTCCTGGTTTTGATACTTTCAAGGAAGGTCGATTAATCTCAGTGGACCATTATTTCTGTCGATCTTATTGATTCTGCTTTTCATACAGTTGTGATTTTACTTGATTTCATTCATTGTATGTATATGAATTTGCAACGCTGGAGTGTCTGCAGGCAATTGGCATGCTGGAAACTGCCAGAAGTCCACGTGCAGTGGTCAGTACGTTAAATGTTTTGGTCTGTGATTAGCATACTATGGAAAAAGTACCAATAAATCCAAAATGTTGACGATCACCCACCTAGAGGCATCCCAGCTCAATGACAAGAGTACAGGATCGATTGATCTGAAATTGAGCTCAAACAGCGAATCACCTGGAGTCAACTGGAATACAAGTTAGGGTCTACATGCAGTTCATCTCCATGCTCGAGGGCCATGTGTTATGCCGCACCTTTCACAAATTGTCATATTGCCAACAGACGTCATGGTGTTCACAATGTTGAACCTGGGATAATTGTCGCTGGTCATGTGTCATGTTTTCAGATGGGTCCGGATCCACCTTGCAATACCCAATGCCAACCTGAAACCTCATGACAGATTTCGCTGTGGATCGGTTATGGTGTTGGGTGGCATCATTGTGAGTGTGCGGACCCTACTCAATATTGTGCAAGGAAGGTCACTGGACAGTACTATCGGGGCAACTTACTGACACCCTTTGTTGTCCCGTTTGCAAGACGTGATGGTTGAATGTCTTGTGTTTCAGGGTGCCGTTGTACAAAGCAACCTAAGCGCTAAGGCGATCGTAACTCCCATTCCTTAACAAACTTACGACTGTCGAAGTGCTAAGGTTGTTTTGTACAATGGCACTGTGCACGAATCATCAGTGATCACCTCCAGCAGCACAACATCCATTGAATGCCATGACCTTCCTCCACTGAACACATCTGGGGCATGATGGAGAGACGTGTGGGTCAACATCATAGGCCGCCGACCAGTCGTCTAAGACTGTCATTCAATTCACTGTAAACAGTTAAAACATCATGGTGACCCCAGTGACCAATCAGCTTTGAGGATCACCAACAATCACGTGCAAATATTGAAAAGTTATAATTACACGGGATCTTCCCACCATTATGCACATTAAGTACATTTCTTAACTGACTCAGTACTTTGATGCTGAACGTGATACTCTCCTCCATGCTACTAGGGGGTCAGGCATTTTGTGGTAGCCTTATACTTAAATGTGATGATGATACAATAATTTCTCATCAATAAATCCATCCATATTTCTTAAACCTGTTTGCTCAAAATGGGTACCTTTTGTAGTTCATTATAAAGTGGCTATTGAATGAGTGTGAATAACATGATCATTGCTCAGACACATATTCCTGCTTCTCATGACATATCAAATCAAATGTTCTCTTGGCCCAAGCCTGTGATAACCACAGGTAGATTCTCCAAATCAGACACGCTCTAACAGACATTTACTGTCAGCAGTGATGTCTTTGATAGTTGCATACCTTTCCTCTTTCAAACAGCAGCGATCTGAGAATCGAGAGACATTACATGTTCATCTTTTGGTACACAAAATATATTTTATTGCCAGAATGAAGAGTACCTGCAAGAGGTATCTTCAGGTTGATGAAATTAATTAGCAGTCATGTTATAACAACTGAAAGAGACAGATATATGTCATTCTCGTGCTGTGTGTTTGCTTCAAAATGTGAAATGTACTGCACGATCACTTAATTAGTGGTCCAAGACAGTCAATCTACTCATAAAAACAACTTGGTGATAATGAACTATAAATGTTCTGATCGGTCGTTAGATTTAAAGATCAGCTTTGGAAAATCACAGCCCGAGAGAGAACGACCTGACACATCTGAAAAAAATGCAGATCTGTGTAGCAACAAGTCAAAATCAAAATCGTTAATAGGGACCAACGGGAAGATACGGTTACCACAGCTAAGTCCTTCCTTTTTTCTTATCCATCCGTTACTATCACTCGATACCTCTTTGTATTTCTGTAATCATCCGTTATTTTCGAATATGCCCTACATTGTTTGGAGAGTATACATATCCCCAAACACAGATTATTTAGACTCCCTGATTATATCGGGTGCAGGATCAAATGTCCTCAAACAATGTGGAGAAAATGGACACAAATTTAGCCAGAAGTGCCACAATGTTTGGAGAAAAGTTACGTGAATATTGGGGAAACAAAACTAACACAAATCTGTAGTGACAACGTTTATTGGAAATACCAATAAACAGCAGTGTTGTTGGTAGGATTCTTGGATCCATCAGTGTATGGGGCCTGGGCCTACCTGTCCGGGGTAGTTTGAATTTTAGTGATGGCTACTGATCGTAATAGGTTTGGGTTTCTTTTCTTGTGACTTCTGATGTTAAAGCATGCTGCCTTGTGGCGTGCTGTTGTCTAGTGACATATGATCAGATTGATTTTTCCCTACTTTAACTGATAGCGACCTGTCTTGCCAGGAAGCTGTCTATGAAGTTTGCCATGTTCCCTTCTACTCCATTTTGTGTTAGTTTTGTGAGAAGTCCAGAAATACTGCGGCTAGGTATGGTCTGTTTAATTGAGTTTTTTAAGTGACAATGCTCACTACTACTAATTGAAAAACAAACAAAATAACAATTAATAATGTCAAATGGGAGGCACGGGTCTCGTGTAACAGTTTTATCAGCTAAGTTTTATTTGGGGCCATTGTTGGCGTCATTTTCTCCAAAACATGGGGCCATTTTCACTCAAATTTAGAGCCATTTTCTCAAATATGTCGGGGGCAGTTTCTCTATAACCCGTTATATCAACCATGCTGGGAAGCTATGGAACTGAACTGGCACCTTACGAATTCCGTGTTCAATATAATTATGGACGTGAAATAACGCCCCTGTCACGCCTTGTCGATGACATTACTTGCACGTGCCTGCCATCGTTTATCTCTCGGCTGTACGTGACTCTTCTTGGTCTTCCTCAGTTATACGCGGCCGTCGCCTGATCTCGACTTGAAAGTGTGACAGTTTGTGTACTGATTGCCCTTGACACTTGTTGCACGTAATTCCCGTGCTAAAAGTCCGAGTCACAGGTGCTCATGTTGGGTGAACACCTCCACGATTATGCTTGGGAAATGTCCAACCCGAGGGAAGAGGGTCGATTGAAAATGTGACGTTTTCAGTACCTATGGTTCAACTTTGCTGTTCCTTGAGTTTGGCAATCTCAGCTTGACTAATCAGTGCTGCCGTGACCAAGAAACAGATTGTTACAGAGAAATGTGTAAGAAATCGACTTGAAGCATAGAATGTTTAATACTGTGTCCCCTATGAAAATAAAGACTCGACTGGCACATTCAGCACGAAAATATCGCTTGTCAAGCATGGATTTCCCCCTATCTCACGCACAACGTGAACTTGGACCATTAGTATCTGAAGTGTAACTGTTTATTAGCAATGTCTAAACAAGTACTGTTGTCAACTTTTCAGATCCATTATAATTCAGAAGTATTCACAGTGTATGCCTGACTTTAAGGACAACATTATCTTGACCAAGGGAGGTACATGCATTTCTCTGAAAATAGGATACTATGTTAAAAAGAGAATATCCAACCCGTCCTCCGATACAGGGATTTGTGGCCAATATATACCTCGCGATTCATTTCTGAAACTGTTGAGTAAACACCCGTTTACATGCTTGCCTTTGCTACATGTGCATACTGCACGCATATGCAATAATACGTATGTATGTAATTGTTAAGATGAAGATCCGGGGTAGAATAGGTCTTCAGCAACCCATGCTTGCCGTAAGGGGTGACTATGCTTGTCGTAAGAGGTGACGAACGGGATCGGGTGGTCAGGCTCGCTGACTTGGTTGATGCATGTCATCGTATACCAATTGCGTGGATCGATGCTCATGTTACCAATCACTGGATTGTCTGGTCCAGACTCGATTATTTACAGACCGCCGTCATATAGCTGGAATATTGCTGAGTACGGCGTTAAACAACAAACAAACAAAATGAATAAGATTGGCTGATCGTTGTATGGCCTGCTTGTGCCAAGTCTTGTGTGAAATCAGTTGCAAAGATACTTTCAGGATGGAAGGACGGCGTTTGTTTTGGTGGCGACGTAGAAGGTATATTATACACAAGTAAGCAAATAAGAGCATGCAACGGGCCATAAGCGAGATTCTCCGAACATTTAGATTTATCCACAGGTAACCGTTTGGTGTCGTCACGTTTAAGCACTCGGTCATACTCAGCAGGCTAACGTATACAGCCACTGTAAATTCATAGCCAAAAGGGTGTATTTCTCTTATATTTCTACGCACATTTAAGTCATAAAAGAGTTGTTACACTGAAAAGAAAAATGGACAAATCTCTCGTGGCATTCGCTACATATTATTTGAACTCGACGTAAAGACAAAACATCATGGCTTATCTCCCTTTGACCATAATCGTTAAGTCTGTGGCTTGCGAGTGCTTGTGACAATATTTTATCAAAGCGGCCAGAAAAGATTACATTGAAATTAAACGAGACGTTTATAACTTGGATCACGGACGTATATACGTCTTTGCTTGGATCGAACCCTCGGCATTTGTTTTGTGCTGATAACCCAAGGATTTAAATCAGATGACTTGTGGATTCGACCCTACAACCCGCGGATCTTGGCATAAGAGGGACGCAGCGAGTTGTGGCGATATTAAATATTGTCTACAGCGTCGTGCAGGTTTATCACCTCGTGGCCATGACTTTGGCAACGTCACTCAGTGAGAGATGTTTAGTGTATGTCACGTGTGACGTGTCAGCCTCTATAGGTAATGCGTTCGCTCGTCACGTGAAAGTCGGGTTTGAAACCAAGATAAACATTTATGGTGTCTCCCGCCATGTCATTTGCTGTAATAATGTTCAACATTGCATGAGTGAGTGAGTGAGTGAGTATGGTTTTACGCCGCTTTTAGCAATATTCCAGCAATATCACGGCGGGGCACACAAGAAATGGGCTTCACACATTGTACCCATGTCGGGAATCGAACCCGGGTCTTCGGCGTGACGAGCGAACGCTTTAACCACTAGGCTACCCGACCGCCCCCAACATTGCATGAAACAACACTCACTCACGTAGTGAATATATAGAGAATCTCACCCAACTGTCTCTTACATCAACAGGAGTGTACAAATACTAGTATTGTGAAACGTTTAGTAACTGTGTAACCGATGAAGTCACATTAGCTTTCATTGTAGCATCTCACCCAAGCGATATATCCTGTGGAAGCCACTTTTGGATGATACATACTATCAAAAACCACCATGAATGTGGAATGTGGTAATTAAAAACAAAACAAACAAAAGAAAACATTTGTGAAAAAAACCCATGTTTATTCTTTATTTGGGCGAATGATTCAACATTTCACCTTATAAATCAGACAAGCTGTATATTGCATTTCCTGTGTCAAACAAATGATCGTTTTAGAAACCATTGCCACATAATATATTGGAAGCAGATTTATGGCACATTCGGTATATCTATCCCATTTCTAAACCATTATAGTATATACTGATGACTAAAAGCTGTTAATAAAAGCGTTTTGTAATATATCATGGTAGACTTGTATTTACAACCGGTCCGTGTAAAGACAATGTTCTCTGTTGTAAAAACTGTATCAAAATAGAATGCTCAATGAAATGTTTCAGAAATGATCATGAGAAGCTCGCATGTTAATTTTACAGGTTAAGATATTTTCATATAAATTCATAATTTATATTGCAAGGCACTGAATACTCCACCGACACTCACGTTTTTTCAAGCACATTGATAGCTGTTCAGTAAACAAGAACACAATAGTTCAATATAAAAAAATACCAACTGGTTGAAATCGACACGGGGTCATTGAATGTTTTACCAAATTTAGACATGCCCATTCCATACCACTGTGATTGTAAAATTATGACTGTTATTTAAAATCTTTCACAAAATTTAAACATCGTATACAAAACCACATTATTCGGATTAATGACAGCTGAATAAAACATGCATTGTCGAATCGATCATCGAAAAATATACGTTCACAATTTGTTATTGGGGAACTTTGAAATCACGTGTACTGTATCCTTCCGCCAGGATTAATTACTTGCTACCTCGCCGCTTGAGCCAACGTCGATGCCAGAGTCGTTTGACACGTTGACTGTGCTGTTGGTACTTGTCTCTGCTGGAGATAATTTGGTTTCAGCATTACAGGGGACACATGTTAATGCGGGACAATTCTTCAAACCAGGCGGGCTACTGCCCAAAGATGATGGACTACTTTTTGGCCGCGCAACACCACCAGTATAAGTGTCCTTATACGTTGTTTGGAAGTACATGTTTTTTTGCTGATTTAGCCGCCGGTGTTCCGAGATATGTCGACACAGCTCTGCTCTCTTTGTCTGCTCCCCTGTCAACATAATAAATATACTCATGGTGAATAAAATGGATTGTTGGTTGGTTTGTTGTTTAACGCCTCACTCAGCAATATTCCAGCTATATGACGGCGGTCTGTTAATAATCGAGTCTGGACCAGCAATTGGGATCAATGACATGCATCAACCAAGTCAGCGAGCCTGACCACCCGATCCCGTTAGTCGCCTTTTACGGCAAGCATGGTTTGCTGAAGACCTATTCTACCCCGGAATCTTCACGGGTCAAATACAATGGAACAATAAGCAATGCACCTATTTAACCTTGGCTTAATTACGTCTCTTTGTAATTCAGACTTAGTTGTACTTTATTCAAAGTTAAGGCTTTGGCTTAAATACAAGCAAATGGTCAATTTGAAAGAACCCCAACAAATTATCTTATCAAACAAAACGCTTCCTTTTCTCCTGTTCTGCATTCACTGCTATCTGTATACATGTATGTAGGGTACAGAAAACTAAGTTTAGAACACGCTGATAACGAACTGGCGGATATAACGAACTGGATTTTTGGTCTCAGCCATTTGCTGTATATATGCTGTATGTATGTTTATAACGAATTACGATTTATAACGATAAAATTAGTGGCCCCTTTCAGTTTGTTATAACCGTAGTTTACTGTATTGGCAAATTTCTTCCAAAAGGTTGTCTCTACTGTCTTTCAGTTAACAATGATGTGCGAAATTTGTCGATTTATATTTATCATGCTGTCAATTTTTTTATTTTTTTACAACCGGACCGTGGTCAAGAGGTAGAACCGTCCGCCCGGAGAGTTGAAGGTCTGGGGTTTGCACCCGGCCGCGTCATACCAAAAGACGTTAAAAAATAATACTTCTTGTTATCCTCTCTGGCGCTCGGCATTAAGGGGTTAAAACAAGGACTGGTCGGCTCGGAGTCAGTATACTGTGTCTGAGTGTGGTATTCGTGTTAAACTGCACTAGCACTATTAAATCGGCATTAGTCGGGAGCAGCCAAAGACACACACACACACACACACACACGTGCATGCTTTATACAATGGATCTGTGGCCTCACAGTTTTCTATAAATAAATTATCTGTCTGGCTCACTTCTTCCAAAAGGTTGTTACTCTGCCTGCTTGTATCTATACAGTTTAGTCATGATCCGTTGCAGAATGGGTTTGAGTCCCAGACTGACATGTTTTTCTTCCTTCATAAGTAAGCAATGAGCCGCGTTATTCGGTTGACAACACACAGATCATTGTCAATTTCGGACTCCATGAGAGGATCTTGGCAACTAAGGGATATAACTGCAGTGCGGAATGGGACACCCTTGCCCCTTTTACTTCCAGAGATCTCTTGCACCAACAAAACAAGTTGTCTATTTTATCTCTATGTAAATGTAGAAAAGAGTTGGACTTATGTCCATGTTTCTGTTAGCTACCAACGATGATATGAATCCCTGGCAGACTATGTATCTACAATCTTGTACCATGTGGAATGTGGGGTTACATACGGTCTGACCCAGCAAGAGAGGTTCTGTTCTACTCGCCTTACAAAGTTTGCCAACCTGGATAAGCAGGTTAGGGTTTATGTCTAACTTGGCCAAATACTGCCTCCTCACCCCGATAGTGACTCTGCTGTGTTGATAAATAAGCCATTTGCTCTTTGGGTGCTGCATACTCCCTCTTAGGGGTGTAGGGTGAGGCTGGACGGGCGTTCTTCCACGCCCCATAGCTCCCCCTATACACAGTGTTGCCGTCCCCACTGGAGTCACCATTCACGTGCGTGATCATGTCTGGGCCTGCTTCACTCGGAACTTTAGGGATGGCAGGGGATTGTTTAGGTGTTGGATTTTGGTAATCCATCTGAAACGAAAATGCGTATGTGATGAATTCGGTCTGCCCATACTTGACGGTTTGGTCAGTTGGATTCTGCTGAATGTCCCGAACTAGTGGTTTGGATTTATCAACTGGCTAAACATAAATAACATCTTTATTCTGCAAATTGCCGAAAAAGGTTGGACTTTTCTTAAGTTTTTATTAAAATAGAAAGTGAAGACTAACAAACACAACTGGGCACACATTGAACTCGGCCTTTCAGCTTTATCATGTACTGTTTGGAGCAAATTCACGGTTGGGGTAAAAATTGGACTGCATACATTGGGATGATGGAGCGAATCGACCCTGGGTCTTTGGTGTGATGTGCGAACTCTTTATACACAAGAGGTTGTTACTCAAGTGTCAGTGGTTCATGTTTTTCTTCAGACAATGTGCAGAAAAACAAATGGCTAGAAATGGGGGCGATTTTTTAATGTTATTTTATTAACAGTTATTCTTTTAACTGTATTCTATCTGTCACGAGAGATTTAATTAAACTGGCTAAAGTTCCCTTGACCCACTGACCATGTACGTTGTGCTCAGAGGCAGCCTGCCTTGGGGTAACTTGTACTCGGCCTTTCTGGCCCACAAGGGATTCTCTCTGGGCTGAACCGGCCACGACTTGTATGTTCTTGACGCCGTCGTCTCTTTGGCGAAGGGAACGTCGGCGACGACGGCAGTGGCCTCTGGGGGACGACAACTCGGCTCCCGTCTCGCGTTCTTATGTTGCTTGTAGTCTGTCATGAATGTTGACACGGCCTTAAACGGTGGCTGCCTTTTCGGGTAAGTATCTGGTCTCACTGGAACAAAAAGGTGAGAACTTGGTCAGCAGATGCTCTGTTCTGTAACACTTAGTGCTGACGTCGCAGTTTCAGAAATGTTTATTAAAATTAAAAGTGTTTTATGATCTCATTGCACCGAATAAGGTCCAGAAGCGCGATAACCACTTCACTAATCTCACCATATTTCCGAAGATTTAACACTGTATACCATCCGAGTTACACCTAGGCCCAAACACGTAACTATTTTAGTATCAGGCAACCGATTTGAAAAGAGAAATTTGATCAGACTGGTCAGAAAGATTTACTTTTCCCCACTGTACATTGATTTATTGGCCTAAGTCTACTGACGTTTAGTCCGCAACAGTTCAAGTATTGCATATTTTTATAATTTTATCGACTGTTTGTCTTGACGAATTAGCATTGAGACAGTCTGCCCCTGTCTGTCCCTGACGAAGGGGATTGTATCTATACTTCTTATGATGAAGAGTTATATAAATGATCGGAGTGTGTTTGTAGGGGGGATATATAATTAATGAAAAACAGGGACCAGCGTACATGTATGTGTCTTCCATGAGCTGTAAGATTGCAATGCCTGGAGGGGAAGTTAGGAACTAAAGCAACAAGCCAGCTGTAGGGACATCAACAATGATTCCGTGACACATGGATTTTACAAAAAAAAGGGAAATTCGGCACCAAGGCTACAAAGTGGAACAAGTTTCGATAGCTGTCCGAGCAATCGTGTGATGGAAGACAATCACCTATGTACCTGACTGGCCACCACGTCTGCACTCTGCACCTAGAACGGAGTTGTCGTCAAGTTATGACGCGGGAGCCGCCATGTTCGTGATACCGGAAGTCAACCAACAACCGACAGGAGCTGACGCCATTGACGATGACGTAAGAGCATTGTTCTATTTGAAATAGCAATCTCAATACACAGTGGTAGCGAGCACTAACATTTTGATTTAAATGAAATTCAATCGGATGGTCGGATGGAAATGGATCAACGAAACCAGTCTAGGACAGGACGTGGCTCCCTGTTATAGTTCTTGTCGAATAACATTAACATGTTTTGTGTAATAACTTTCGGTAAGGAATGTTTTGAAGTATTTTCATAATTATTTATGTATTTCGTATGTTCGCATGTCATTATAAACATGTAAGATAAAGGTAAAGTTTGTTTTAATAGTTTGGTTACATGTTTCCAACGATTACTCATCCCCCCCCCCCATGTAATTTTCTCAAACCCATAACAAACAATTAAGGCCGTGTATAGCCTTTCTCGGTGTTTGTAAAAATACACCTAACCTCGCTGTACGAGGTGATATGGGTTGGTTAGACACCCCAAATACAAAGTTTATATTGAGGCTGCAAGACTTTGCTGTAGACATGACAGGGCATCTGATTCCAGACTTATTTAAAAAATCTACTCCTGGTCAGAAACTAAAGGTATATCCTGGGAAAGCAAAGTTTTTTAACAGTTTTGAACTGAACTCTTGACTCCCTTGACAAGCCCCTTGGGTGGATTTCATGTAGAAAAACTATGCACTTGAAAGGAGCGGATTATAACAACTGGTTTCAGTCTCAGCCAAAGCTCGGGACATAGAAGCTTTTTAAATACGTTTTACTCCCATTTGACAAGCGTAGTAACCTCTCTTCGCTGTGGTTTTTAAACTAGAAATAGAAACAGGCAGATACGGCAATCCCCTACTCCTCCAACAGAAAGATTCTGTACCAATTGTGTCGAAGACGAAAACATTTTCTACTACAATGTCCATTCTATAATGATATTCGCATCAATGAATTGCTGAGTATATATTTCATAATCCTGCTTTCACAAAATGCAAAACTTGTATCAATGCAAAATGCCTCAGCTATCGCCGAATGTGATTTTGAATGTATGCCCGGCGTAAACGCTTTTTTTTACACTTACTGTACATTTTATAATTATGCTAAAAACTAGAAGTTGTGTCTCCTCGGCCTTTATTGGCCCTGCATAAATATATAAACTTTTTATGACGTATATGACACTTAAATAAACAATTTCATTCATTCATTCATTCATTCATTCATTCATTCATTAAAGATATTATCATGCATGCACCTCACTGTCGCAGTTGTAGTAGCAGATCTATTTAATTATGCTAAACAGTATGTAAAGCTCCCCCGAAAGGCTTGCATCAGGCCAGTCTGTAATTTCAGAATATTCGCGTTTGTTTACAAGAGAAAAGTCCGGTCACGTGATATGCAAATTAGCCTGTGGCGGTTGTGTTATGCTTAGTCACCACTGCGCCGGAGTATGATATATAATAAGTATTAATTACACCGGTAATACTAACAGTTCACATGCCATATAACAGGTGTATTGTATTGTATTGTAAACTACACCCAGCGCCCGTAATGTCCTATAAACTCTGATGATTTGACGACGGTTGAAATATGGTGCAAATGTTCCTGATAAATTGTATAAGCTTCATGACTTTTGAAAAAAAGTAAATATTAATGTCTCACCTCACTATATGTACACCACACGGTCACGACAGAAACGTACGTACATGTAGCAATCTGGTTGTATTGTCAATAGTTTTAGGGGGCAGCTGGTCTGTGGTATTTAAACAATAGCGACGTGATGGAAAATATAGATCCGACTTTGCCAACACTGACTGTACCACACTCGGCGAATGATTTGCTTGTTTTACGACCGTTCGAATGTTTACCAATGTCAAGGTCACGTGCGCTGTAAGAAGCTGTCGGATTGAACGGGGCTCGGTATTGAATGGGTGAGGTTTTAGGACGCTCCATCAAGGCGGATGACACAATGAATGGGCTTCACTCATTGTACCCATGTTGGGACTCGAACGAGTCTTCCTGCCTTCGGTGTAACGAGCGTTCAGGAATCTCCTGGTTATCCCACTGTCCCTGGAGTTCATAAAGCGGACCTTCACTATTCCGGTGTCGGCACCATACCTCGTGGGTTTTACCGAAGTGGTAAACGTCTGAGACCTGAGGGGGCACGGGTGGCCCAGTCGTCTAAGGCACCGCGATTCGCTGTGCAGAGTTGCGTCCCTTGGGCACGCCAGTAACCTATGATTGTGGGTTCGAATCCCGGTTCGACTCGATTATGTTTCTAGGTTTGTCAGCACCATACCCGTGCTCGTGGGTTTCACCGAAGTGGTAAACGTCTTAGACCTCCATCACTTCGGGCTTTCCTCCCACATTAAGCTGACACGCCGTGATATAACAGGAATAATGTTAAAAGCGGCGCTGAACCCAACTCACTCACTCACTGAGACCTCAATTAGTTTGGGAATTCCTCACACAATAAGCTGGCAAATTATGTAACATACACATATTTTAGCTATACCGGGGGACCAACACCTTCCCGAGGCAAGGGAGTAAGTTAACTGCAAAAGTCAAGTTTCCATGCCGAAACTGGTCTTTTATAGTGAAAGTCATATTTCCACGTGGAAAGTGGACTTTTATAGTCAGTTACCTCCCTTGCCTCGGGAAGATGGGGGACCAAGTAAAACATGTAAAACGATGCAGGATAACCTTCTTTTGTGGACAAAAAACAATGATACAATTTTGTCCGGAACGAAAGTCTTGCGAAATGCATTGTTTCGATCCTGTATCGATCTTTGACAAGGAGTTCAAAGACTTTATTGCGACGCGTGGAGTTTGACTTGACTTACAAACTCTAAAAGCGGGAAGTAGTGTCATTGTATTTTATCCTCCGAAAAACTGCACGGCTTCCACAGGAGATATCACTTGCAGAAGATTGTGACGTCTTTGGTTACTATCGGTTATATCGGTTAAAACTTTTGTCGACTTGTATTGATGTAATTGATATCAAAAGACACTTGGGTGAGACTCTCTATACAATATGAAATCCGTTGACAGCGTTTAACAGTGGAAACATACAGCTTTTCGACTGTCGTAAATCTGCATGTTATTGTATGGCACTTAAAGACAGACCTATGTAAAACGGGCACCTCCATGTGCATGGCTCGCCTAAACAAGTAGCCAAATTCACCCCAGGAATCTGAAGTTCCAATTACAACAGTGGAATTGTGTGCCTTTTAAAAATATATTCGATTATAATGGAGAAGTTATGACTTCTACTTATTCAGTTCGGTTCTACGTTTGTGACGTCACCACGTAATGGCTTAGTCAAGAGTACGAACTTCGCGTAAAGAAAAGACATATGATTGAGTTTAATGTAACGATTGGTAGTCACACTTATGCTGAGATCGAATGACGGTACTATTGGCGATTCTACTGAAGGATGACATGGTTGCAAAATTTGGTGAGATGGTATTTCACTCCTAGTGGCCCAGGCGTCTAAGGCGCCGCTATTCGCTGTGCCGAGTTGCGTCCCTTGATTGTGGGTTCGAATCCCGGTTCGCCCCGATTATGTTTCTAGGTTTGTCAGCACCATACCCGTGCTCGTGGGATTCACCGAAGTGGTAAACGTCTGGGACCTGCATCACTTCGGGCTTTCCTCCCACATTAAGCTGACACGCCGTGATATAACTGGAATACTGTTAAAAGCGGCGTTAAACCCAACTCACTCACTAAAGAACACCCAATATTTTCATATGACTATAAATCCGTCATGACACATTAACTATAGTCATGTGAAAACAAGGTGTTCCTAAATTGATTTCTTTTGAGGAGTATATACTTGGGCGGGTGTTTGACAGTACAAATGACATGCACTTCCACAATTGTTTCAATCAGATCTGCTGATGCCAGTGGATTTACAGTCCTGTCACAGAATCAACCTCGACGCCTATGTCCTCATCTTCCCGAGACTGACTGTCATAGACCAGTTTTCATCCTTGCCGAATTAGGTTGGAATTATGGAGTTATATTTTGGCTGGACAAACGAGTCTATGCATAGTCCAATCAAAATCGCGTAACGAAATCGACATCCGGTTCGTTAACAACATGGAATTCAACGTACAGATTTCGGTCGACTGCAGGATTTGCAAAGAATGCGTACCGTCTACTTGGCGTCGACAGATAGTTTCCAAATATTTTCATATTTATCAGTCAAGGTGCCGACGTGAACTGATGCACTTCGCGAGGAAAGACCCGTTTTATTACAATATAGATCTTGATAATCGATCTGATCGTCTTGAATGGGCGTCGCCATTTTCTTTGAAGCAAAGGCGGGTGATATGAGAAGTGGAATGTGATTGGTCAATAGGAGGGGCATAGATGGGACATAACTCGTAATATCCACTGGTGGCGCTACGATCGAGTCCAGAGGTTCCAGCCAAGTTCGGCAGGGTTGAAACTGGACTTTTATAGTCAGTTAACTCCCTTGCCTCGAGAAGGTAATAATGGTACCTATAGCTTTTCTTGGCGCAGGCGTTGGTTTCTTGGGGAAGTTTGATTTGTAGGTGGTGGTGCTGTCGAACGGCCCATGGGGCTGGATCTCATTGTCCTCCTGGATGATGACTGATGGCCGCTCCACGTTCTGGTGTGCTGGGAAGCTGTCCTGCAGAGAGACATGGGTTTAGTGTCGGTTTACGTCGCAGTAAGAACTATTCTAGCTTCGTCACGGCTTCCTGTACATGATCGAACCTGGACCTGGCAAACCAGTGATTGATCACTGTCGGGGTACAATGCACGCAGTCAACCAAGCATGATCACTGGAAGTATTCATTTGCCTTTTTCGACGAACTTTGATTGGTGTTTAACGCCGCACTCAGCAATATTCCAGCTGATTTCACACAAGACTTGGCACAAGCAGGCCATACAACGATCAGCCAATCTTATTCATTTTGTTTGTTTGTTGTTTAACGCCGTACTCAGCAATATTCCAGCTATATGACGACGGTCTGTAAATAATCGAATCCTGACCAGACAATCCAGTGATTGACACCATGAGCATCGATCTACGCAATTGGGATACGATGACATGCATCAACCAAGCCAGTGAGCCCGAGACGACCCGATCCCGTTAGTCGCCTCTTATGGCAAGCATTATGAAAAGCATGGGCTGCTCTTTCGGCAAGCATGGAACGTATTGTTGATAGATGAAAGTACTGCCAACAATCACGAGAATATAAACGTAATAATAACGAATATACTGACGGAAGTAAGTAAGTGAAAGGTGAGGTGAAACCATGTTGTATGTGCTCCAGCCAGCCCCATGATTGTCGCTCCTGACACAATAATGTTATTCCATAACTTATTTTGTAGATTGCCTATCCTAGCACGGTTAAGGGGCGCAACTCTTCACAGCCATAGACTTGTTGATTCCGTGTTCATTTGAGGTTAATGCTTTTTTCCTACCTGGCAGGTAGAGACATTCTTGCCATCTGTCGCCTTGGAGACCTCAATGCCCTCTACCGGCATGATGAGTGAAGGCCTGCATGATCGGGCTAGTTCCGCCTCGTACGCCTCGAACGCACCCTGGTAAACAGACCGACAACTGAACTTGACCGTCGGCGACTGGTACACCCGTGTCGGCTTGAACGAATTGGTTGGTGCGAGTTTCTGTGAAAACACCATGTTGGTATGATGTGAGTTTTAGTATATGATGTAATAAATCCATAGTGTGTCTTTCTGACACCTTAACAAAGAATTCAAACTTTATTTCTTGGAATGGCGTTGATTAGCGGGTTTAGTTTCATCGCACGGGCAAGCTATCATAAGCTATCCATTGTAGTTTGTCAAATAATATTTCTTTGTCACAAAGAAAATGGTTTTGTTCACGGGAGGTAACCCCTCATACTATATACCTGCACATTATCTTAATAATCTAAAGGGCGGAGGGGTAGCCTTGTGGTTGAAGCGTTCCCTCGTCACGCCGATGACCCGGGTTCGACTCCCTACATGGATACAATGTTTGAAGCCAGTTTCTGTCCCCCGCCGTGATGAAGCTGGAATGTTGCTAAAGCGGCGTAAAACCAAACTCGCTCACTCTTGATAATCTTGTCACACTACATGAAGCATAATAAAATGTCCCTCGTTGCTTCTGAGAGAGACCGTTGTCTAGTGGATAGATTGTTTGTTTGTTGTTTAACCCACTCAGCAACATTCCAGCTGTGAGACGGGGATCTGTAAATATTCGAATCTGGACCAGGCAATCCAGTGATTGACATCATGAGCATCGATCCACGCAATTGGGATACGATGACATGCATCAACCAAGTCAGCGAGCCTGACCACCCGACCCCGTTAGTCGCCTCTTACGACAAGTAAAGTCGCCTATTACGGCAAGCATGGGTTGCTGAAGACTTATCATAACCCGGATCTTCGCGGTTAGGACAGATGCAATAGATGCATTATTGGGTATAGACAGCTCTGACGGGTCTGTGGGAAATGACAAAAAAAATAATTATTGAAAATAATATTCTCTAATCATGTTTGTTGAAGCATTCTAGATCTGTGCTAGCATCACTATCCTAGTCATCCTCCTGTTATAATGTACAAACTGCTTCTCTTCCTTGCTGTGCCTATTAAACGAACACAGCATGGCTTCGTATGTAAGACGGTAACAAATCTTATATACAACAAACGACGTTAAAGAACGCCCGATTCTTACATCATGACATCATTGAGACACGACACTGTGTTAGTATATGAAGCGCACGTACAATCTGTGTTGCCGCAGCCTGTGGCTGTTTCACACTTGAAAACAGTCAAGCTGTGAGACAGGGATCTGTAAATAATCGAGTCTGGACCAGGCAATCCAGTGATTGACATCATGAGCATCGATCCACGCAAATGGGATACGATGACATGCATCAACCAAGTCAGCGAGCCTTACCAGCCGATCCGGTTAGTCGCCTCTTTCGGCAAGCACGGGTTTCTGAAGACCAATTCTAACCCGGAGTCTTCACGGGGACAGCAGCCTGTGTTACCTGTTCCGTGTAATCCGACTTGTAGGTGGTCCTGAGGCGGGCCTTGGGCTGCGGGACTATATACTCGTCTTTCTGCTTGATGAGTGCGCGCTGAAAAACACGGCAAATTACTGATTAGTTTGTTTGTTAACGCCGCACTATTCCAGCTATATGACGGCGGTCTGTGAATAATCGAGTCTGGACCAGACAGTCCAGTGATTATCATCATAAGCATCGATCCATGCAATTGGAGCCTGACCACCTGATCCCGCTAGTCGCCTCTTACGACAAGCATAGTCTCCTTTTACGGCAAGCATGGGTTGCTGAAGACCTATTCTACCCCGGATCTTCACGGGTTCATTGTTAAGTTGAACTGAACAGACACTATGTTTGTTTGTTTGTTTGCTTATTTGTTTAACGCCGCACTCTGCAATATTCCAGCTCTATGACGGCGGTCTGTAAATAATCGAGTCTGGACCAGACAATCCAGTGATTAACATCATGAGCTTCGATCCACGCAATGGGATACGATGACATGCATCAACCAACGCAGCGAGCCTGACCACCCGATCCCGTTAGTCGCCTCTTACGGCACGCATTGGTTGCTGAAGACCTATTCTACCCCGGATCTCCACGGGTCACAGGCACTATGTTAGTTTGGTTTAATGCTGCTTTCGGGTTATATTTGGGTTATATCACGGCGTGTCGGCTTCACGTGGGCGGAAAACGCATTATACACAACAGGTTGGGAGCTAGCAGGTAAGGATAGGAGAGGGGACGAACCTGCGGCTCCTGGCACGGTCAAGGGGGACCATTGACATATCTAGATGATGTACCCGCAGACTGATTAAGAGCAAGAGGCTCGAGAAGGTTATTACGATCGTAATTTACTTTGCTCTCCAATCTACTTTTCTCAGGTTTGTTTGTTTGCTTGTTTAAAAGTAAATATGTAATATATACTGGCGAAAGTAGAGCGTAAACCTATTCCCAATCAGTTATGTAATGTATATTCACATATTACTCTTTCTGGTAGGTTACCTTAAAATAACATTATAAACGTGCGAATGTGGCTAATTTAAGCACAATGATATCTGTTAATCCTTGCACTTCTATGCATGGCTAATCTCACAGATACGTCAGTTGCATTTCAGACCAACTTTACTGTCAGGCATTTGTTAAGACTGAATCTGATGAAAGAAACTTCTATGTTTGGTATTGGCGCCAGCACCAAGCATATTTTATTGATAAACACGTTGATCCAGATTCATAAACTAGGAGTCTGCATCCTTTCCTATGTAAAAAAACCACATGGAGATTATTCAATGCAAAGTATATACAGGATTTTGCTGAAAACATACACTCGCACCTGAATGGGCGCCTGATAGTTCGAGCTCTTACAACAAACTCGCCAAATAGTGTATTGTCTAAATTCTCTTACCTGTGTCACGGAAACCGAGCAATTCACACTGAAATCTTTTCCCGTATTAGTAATAATGTGGAGAAATACAGATCCCGTTTCGTCTTTGTTAACATACGCCCACCTGGCGCCTAAAGCGACACAATCGATACTTCGGTCATTGAACACCAAGCTGTGCAAATTCTGGGGATATCCCGTTCTGCGGCAGAGGAGAAACTATTTTGCCTCACAGGGTGGAAAAGCATTTTTTTTAAACTCTCGTTTCCCATATTTGTAAACTTTACTTACTTCCCTAAAACAAGGAAGTGTCTGGACCAGGGCTCGACACCTGGGAGTGTTGGCTTTTGTTAACCTTTGTTAGCGCACTATAGTGAGGTTGGTTTACAGGTAGCTGTGAAGTCAGATAACGAAGTTAGATAACGAGGGCAGGTTTTAAACCTGGGCATGTGAAATGCATATTATTGACTTTATCTTCAGCTTGGAGGTGGGTAATAATTTATATGAAGACGCCAGGTGTTGAGCGTATTACTGCAATATGACTCCAGTCGATATGGTCATACATGACACTTGGAGCTAGCCAAATGGTATTCGTCTTTTTATACCGTTATGTACATTGACATCTGACACTTGTAATAAAAATTATATTTTTTCCTTCAAATACTACATTTTATAGAAATTATCTTTGAGAATGAAAAGTAGGCTTTCTGGTTGTATTCAAGACATATGCAACATGTTTGTGTTGGAGTCAGGGACATGAATATAACCCATGCCTCTTTCACCATCCTCGAGTGTCCAGAGTACTCACTATATATTATATCGCCATTCTGTCATAGATACCTTGGACTAATTCTCTGATATCTAATGCATAGATCCATTTCAGGTACGCTGGATAAGCGAAGGAGGTTTGTGCAGCCTTAATGGAAATGAATAATATAAAAAAAGGAAGTAAAATAGATTTACAAATGAGATGTAGGTTTGTCTTCACACCATCATTGTTAGTGTCAGAAAATAAGGAGAAAATGTTTAATAATCTGATGTTCATTTATCATTTGGATTTGAATGTCGATACAGTTTATCGATGGCTTCGTGTACCTAGCCGGTTTCGGTGTTGTCAGGTATCATCCGTGTATGCGAACGGGAGGGCGGGCGTTCCATCTCACGGACGCGTCATACCAAAAAACTTTAAAACACGGTACTTGTCACCCAGCCTGGCGCTCGGCATTTAAGGGCTACAATGACAGGTCGGCTTGGAGTGTTTGTTGTGTTTGTCTGTTGTCTAACGCCGCACTCAGCAATATTCCAGCTATATGACGGCGGTCTGCAAGTGATCTGGACCAGACAATCCAGTGATTGACAACATGAGCATCGATCCACGCAATTGGGATCGATGACATGCATCAACCAAGTCAGCGAGCCTGACCACCCGATCCCGTTAGTCGCCTCTTACGACAAGTATAGTCGCCTTTCATGGCAAGCATGGGTTGCTGAAGACCTTTTTCTACCCCGGATCCCCGGCTTGGAGTGAGTCTGAGTGGGGTATCCATCTTAAACTGCAGCATGGTATCGCCGGACTTGTACACACGAGTACGTCGCTTTATAAGTGTTAACATCTTGAAGGCGACGTTTAACCCCGTGTCAATTCACTTCACTTCACCTCATTTCTGTAAATTAAGACGTCGGACAGGCATAAAAACGCCTAAGGTAAGTAAAAGGACAATCCCTATATATATACTTACAGATAGATTCAAAAGACTGATGTCAAACAAAACCTGGATCTACACATTGACGTGATACAACAAATACAACAAGGAAGTATAGTTGACCCGAATAAGGTTTCATTTTACAGACGCTATGGTTTGTTGGTTTGTTGGTTTGTTGGTTAACGCCGCACTCAGCAATATTCCAGCTATCTGACGCGGTCTGTATATAATCGAGTCTGAACCAGACAATCCAGTGATTGATATCATGAGCATCGATCCACGCAATTTGGATCGATGACATGCATCAACCAAGTCAGCGAGCCTGACCACCCGATCCCGTTAGTCACCACTTACGACAAGCATAGTCACCTTTACTCGCTATGGTCTCGGCGAGATAGATTACCCTCTGAATTAGATCTACATTCTCTAAAGAATGGCGAGTCACTTTGGAATTGAGATATACACTGGAGACTGGAGGATGGCACTCTGGGAAACGAAGCCCATAAGTGTGCACACAAGGCCATGGCGATGGTGGTGGTGGTGTTGATATACGATTGGGTCTATATGTTATGCGTTATGAAGCAAAGTTAGCAGTTGTGAAGCTCTGTTAAAAAGTGTTTATACACAATAATTATCGCAATATGTTTACGAAAACTCATTGGTCGATAAAAACAAAGGCAGTTCTGATCTTGCAGCTTGAAAACCATATCTACACCTCTGTGTACCTACTCACGGAAAATATCTAAAACCTATACAATAGAGGCAGTTTGTGGATGGCAAACACATGTTTAGTGGATGATAAACCTTGTTCCTACTTTGCTTTCTCTCACTGAGTGAGTGACGAAGTCCTTCCTGTAGAGAGACTGCATGTCCGTGACGGCGTTGGTCTCGTGGTTGGCAGTCACAGGCTTCAAGGGGTCCCTGGGGGGCTGGAACTTCCACCACTTGTAGGCCTGGCACAGACAACATAGCTCGTGTCACAGACAACACTGTCGTCTCACCCCCTGTGTCAGATCTGACACATCGTACTCACGCCTTGTGTCAGATCTAACACATCGTACTCGCCCCTTGTGTCAGATCTAACACACCGTCATCACCCCTTGTGTCAGATCTAATACACCGTCCTCACCCCTTGTGTCAGATCTAACACCGTACTCACCCCTTGTGTCAGATCTAACACACCGTACTCACCCCTTGTGTCAGATCTAACACACGGTCCTCGCCCCTTGTGTCAGATCTAACACACCGTCCTCACCCCTTGTGTCAGATCTAACACACCGTACTCATGCCTTGTGTCAGATCTAACACATCGTACTCGCCCCTTGTGTCAGATCTAATACACCGTCCTCACCCCTTGTGTCAGATCTAACACACCGTCCTCACCCCTTGTGTCAGATCTAACACACCGTCCTCTCCCCTTGTGTCAGATCTAACACACCGTCCTCACCCCTTGTATCAGATCTAACACACCGTCCTCACCCCTTGTGTCAGATCTAACACACCGTCCTCACCCCTTGTATCAGATCTAACACACCGTCCTCACCCCTTGTGTCAGATCTAACACACCGTCCTTAGCCCTTGTGTCAGATCTAACACACCGTACTCGCCCCTTGTGTCAGATCTAACACACCGTCCTCACCCCTTGTGTCAGATCTAATACACCGTACTCACCCCTTGTATCAGATCTAACACACGGTCCTAACCCCTTGTATCAGATCTAACACACCGTACTCACCCCTTGTATCAGATCTAACAGACCGTACTCACCCCTTGTGTCAGATCTGACACACCGTACTCACCCCTTGTATCATATCTAATACACCGTACTCACCCCTTGTGTCAGATCTAATACACCGTCCTCACCCCTTGTGTCAGATCTAACACACGGTCCTAACCCCTTGTATCAGATCTAACACACCGTCCTCACCCCTTGTATCAGATCTAACACACCGTCCTCACCCCTTGTGTCAGATCTAACACACCGTACTCATGCCTTGTGTCAGATCTAACACACCGTACTCATGCCTTGTGTCAGATCTGACACACCGTACTCACCCCTTGTGTCAGATCTAACACACCGTCCTCACCCCTTGTATCAGATCTAACACACCGTCCTCACCCCTTGTGTCAGATCTAACACACCGTACTCACCCCTTGTGTCAGATCTAACACACCGTACTCACCCCTTGTGTCAGATCTAACACACCGTACTCATGCCTTGTGTCAGATCTAACACACCGTACTCATGCCTTGTGTCAGATCTGACACACCGTCCTCACCCCTTGTGTCAGATCTAACACACCGTCCTCACCCCTTGTATCAGATCTAACACACCGTCCTCACCCCTTGTGTCAGATCTAACACACCGTACTCACCCCTTGTGTCAGATCTAACACACCGTCCTCACCCCTTGTGTCAGATCTGACACACCGTACTCACCCCTTGTGTCAGATCTAACACACCGTCCTCACCCCTTGTGTCAGATCTAATACACCGTACTCACCCCTTGTATCAGATCTAACACACGGTCCTAACCCCTTGTATCAGATCTAACACACCGTACTCACCCCTTGTATCAGATCTAACAGACCGTACTCACCCCTTGTGTCAGATCTGACACACCGTACTCACCCCTTGTATCATATCTAATACACCGTACTCACCCCTTGTGTCAGATCTAACACACCGTCCTCACCCCTTGTGTCAGATCTAACACACCGTACTCACCCCTTGTGTCAGATCTAACACACCGTCCTCTCCCCTTGTGTCAGATCTAACACACCGTACTCACCCCTTGTGTTAGATCTAATACACCGTACTCACCCCTTGTGTCAGATCTAACACACCGTCCTCACCCCTTGTGTCAGATCTAACACACCGTACTCACCCCTTGTGTCAGATCTAACACACCGTACCCGCCCCTTGTGTCAGATCTAACACACCGTCCTCACCCCTTGTGTCAGATCTAATACACCGTACTCACCCCTTGTGTCATATCTAATACACCGTACTCACCCCTTGTGTCAGATCTAATACACCGTACTCACCCCTTGTGTCATATCTAATACACCGTACTCACCCCTTGTGTCAGATCTAATACACCGTACTCACCCCTTGTGTCAGATCTAACACACCGTCCTCACCCCTTGTGTCAGATCTAACACACCGTACTCACCCCTTGTGTCAGATCTAACACACCGTACCCGCCCCTTGTGTCAGATCTAACACACCGTCCTCACCCCTTGTGTCAGATCTAACACACCGTCCTCACCCCTTGTGTCAGATCTAACACATCGTACTCGCCCCTTGTGTCAGATCTAACACACCGTACTCGCCCCTTGTGTCAGATCTAACGCACCGTCCGATCATATAACGTAATTCTTCAATAGGAAGCTGATCTGATTTGAAACCGAGCGAGTGAGCTAAGGAAATATATGAATGAGTGCCCTTCATTCCCCTGGTTTATGACCTGAACCAATATATACTCATTAGCACAACTGAAGCAACAACAAAACTGTCAGCGACTCCGTGATATGTGTAATGTGTAATACTGCGATATACGATAATCTTATCGTCAGGCCTTGAATCGATACAAAACTATATACGTAGGACTTCATCCATTTACTCACTTTTATGTGGCGTTAAACAACATCCATTTACTCACTTTTATGTGGCGTTAAACAACATCCATTCACTCACTTTTATGTGGCGTTAAACAACATCCATTCACTCACTTTTATGTGGCGTTAAACAACATCCATTCACTCACTTTTATGTGGCGTTAAACAACATCCATTCACTCACTTTCATGTTTACGTCATCTTCATGTGGCGTTAAACGACATTCATATTAATCATCATCATGGCGGTGGGGTATTAAGCACTGAACATAGCTGTTGTGTATCGTATGACATAGCTGTTCGTGTATCGTATCTTGTATCGTACAGCGAAAAGGTGTAGTATCGGCGTATTGAATACATCCCTTCAACATCTCCCGGACCTGAGTCGGTGTGTGTGAACTATTACAGTTTACTATCTGAACCAGTGTATACTATTCTAACATAAAACATGTTTCAGGTTATGCACAGATGATAACTACAGTAAACTACGTTTATAACGAACACGCTTATAACGAACTTAATTTTTTGTCCCGATTATTTGCTGTAGTTATGCTGTATATATGAATATAACGAACTACGGCTACAACGAACTAAAATTAGTGGTCCCTTTGAGTTCGTTATAACCGTAGTTTACTGTATACGCAGCAATTAACACAAATTTGTTATGACACTATACTTTACCTCCTGATATTCGGAGAGGAAATCTGCCGGATGGGCATTCTTGGACGCCTTGGACAGACGCCATGGAACTGGGTTGACGATCCGGTTGTGGAAACTGCATGGAGATGGATAAACAGGGATCAGTCTCATGTTGTTAGTGACAGTCACGTACATAAAGAAGCAGACATGTAGCACGTGATCACAGTGGTTAGTGTAAGGAGGAGGAATATACTCTGTACTCTGAGTGAGTGAGTGAAGTAGGTTTCATTAATGTCACGGTAGGACAGATTCATGTCTGAAGAGATCCCAAAGTGATGCAGATCTTGGGCGATTACCACTTTGGTAAAACCTACGATGACATGGTGCCGTCTCACAAACCAAGGATCATTATCAAGATCCTGGCACCCCAAGGGACGTAACTGCACAGCGAATTGCGGGGCTTCAGACGACTGGACAATCTGTTCTCCCCAGAAGACTGAAGACTGTCTTCGGACTTATGAATAATTTAAATGAACCATGTATATGATAACTGATAATGTGAACTTTCTCCAAACTTTGCTCTAGACAGTGCTGGAAAAAATAATTTGGCATCGGGTTTTACAAAATCCAAACTATCACTGGACTTTATGGGTCTCCGGAAAGGGATTTGTATCGAGGTTAGATATTGTTCCGCTGCAGCTACAAATCCAGATATTTATTATTTAAAACAATGCGCCTGGATTTGACACACAAAAACAAAAAAACAAAATGCAACAATGTATTTCTTGTGGCAGTCAATTTCTTTCTTTTTTTCAACAGTCTGAAGCATAATTATTTTCTTCAAGAATTTAGGGATTGTTGCCAATAGAATCCCAGTCGCATGGGGTGGGAATATATGCTGGTATATATACTGCCGGGCAAAAGAAAGTGGCATACACCCATGTTTGATGGTGCCTAAAAATGAGACAAACAAGAAATGGCTGTTCGATGGAGATGTATTTGATACGGGTATCTTAGGCGATATTACATGCTTCATATCAATGAGTATCTCACAGGTGATGTGCACGTGATGTTGCAATTTTACACTACACAGCAATGAGCAGAGTTTGAATTTTTTTTAATCCCGTGTGAATTTTTAATTGTAACTCCCTTTTGGACGGCAGTTGAGATCTCCGGGAGAGTTATCTCACTGTACAGTCCTTTGGGGTTGGGCCATTCCCAAACACCAAGAAAAGTTCTGTATTAGATGTCTATGATACAAAATACTCATGAACCCAATACATGGTCCAGCTAACGCTATACACTCACTGTATTCCGAACAACCTACCAAATCTGTGTTTCCGCCACCGGATCACCGCTCGCTTGTCCCCCTCTCATTTATAACCGGAGGACGGGGCTTTCATTTAGATCAGTTCCTTCTCCTCCATTGAAGCCGTTGCGAGGTAGCTTCTGTGACGTCATGGCATTGTTTCGTGTAGGTTTCTTAGCGACAATGGGTATAACGTCATTGATTTGTGCGCCCTCAGTATGACGTCACATCAACACATAAAATGACTGATTCTCAATCGTAGCATGTACCATCACTCGCTCCGTGCATGGGGCAGTGAGAGCAGTAGAAATAAAATCGTGATATTTTCAAAGAACTCTCGAACATAGTGTGTACCATTGCATCTAAACTTTGTTGTTGGTTTGTTGTCTAACGCTGCACTCAACAATATTCCAGCTGTATCGTGGCAGCCAGTAAATAATCGAAGCTGGGCTAGATAAACTAGTGATTGATATTATGAGCAACGTCCCATGCCGTCGGGTGCGATGGTACGCAATAAACTAGGTCACCGTACCCATATGCACCGGTGCTGACAAACATAGAAACATAATCAGGCAGAATCTAGGATTCGAATCCACGATCACAGGCTTCTAGTGCGTCTAGGGGACGCAACTCTCCATAGCTAATTGCAACGCCTCAGAAGAGAAGACTCGTTCTCCGGATAATTAGAACGTTCAGGACAGCACCATACTACTGATTCAAAAATATTCTATTGATAATCAATAGGATTGGGAAAAAACCCGAGGAGCTTACTCGATCCTTTCCATTTCAATAGTACAGAATGATTAATAGTATTTCAATACATGCAGGGCGGTCGGGTAGCCTTGTGGGTAACGCGTTCGCTCGTCACGCCGTGATATTGCTGGAATATTGCTAAAAGCGGCGTAAAATCATATTCACTCACTAAATACATGCAATCAACAGCAAAAAGCAGAAATTAGTCTTAAAAATGAGTTGACAGAATACAATTATACACAGCTTTAAACAAAATTTCGTTGACATTGATGTAAAGATACAAATGTATGCCAAATATGTAAATTTCATATAATAGTAACCTGTAATGACGTCATTCGAAGAAATAATGTAAAACACTTGCAGCGTGTGGACCACAATTGTCTGTAAGACTTGCCTCAGTCTTTTCTACGAGTGTTTTACGAGTTTGTTAATTATAATTATTATTATTAGTTACATGGTTCTGTGTATAACCACACTCTTTTGATTCTTTGATAATACCTGCATATTGTATCACATGCTTAAATGAACTGTTTATTATTTCATATTGTATTGTGGCTATTTTCAAAATTATGAAAACATTATTGAAGGTTTACATGGAAATGTATTATTTTGTTAAACGATATATAATATGATTAAGCGAGGAGCTCACACCGTCAAAATAATGACGCGAGCTGTCTTGACCTGTTAGCCAGACAGGGCCAATGTTTTATTTGTAACAACAGACGGACCTTTGCCTATTTGTCATAAATTTTATTCTCATCACCACTACGTCTTCTATATAAGTGTGTATGTATGGTAATATACAGGTTTTTTTTAAAGATTTTGAGCAGCAACTCGCTGTGAGTAGTTGCGTCCCTTAGTCGTCTCAGGATATGCTGAACTTGCTGAATATACTGAATCAGTTGGAATCCCATATTCGCCTGCTTGATCATGGGTCTACGAGCACATGCCCATGCTAATGTGTTCAGAGTGTCTGTGTGAACATTAAACTCTCACGCCGTGAAAAAAAGAAGAAGTTACTATGTGTTGTTCAAAGCAGCGTAAACCGACCCAGTAACGCTTCGCTGAACATAACAGTCTTGTCAGCAGAATTATTGGTCGTATAACATCAACTCAAATATCGACTTCTATCAAAATGCAATTAAATGTCTGGAAACATTGTGTTTACTTTGAAACAACACGGAAATCAATAATCTCGCACATAAACAGAATTGTTTTAAAAGAAGGATAACACTGATCTTGACGATATCTGATTGAGAGAAGTTTTTACCCGCAATTACTGAGACAATGCATCAATTATCCCCTTTCCTTCATCGCCGCGGGTTGGCATCGCTCCGGCGTTAGAATCAGACGCGGCGTACATGAAACATAAACTTAAGTAGCCTAACAATTGAGTTCAATTTAAATTCCATTAAAGTAATTAATCGTGTTAAAGTGGACAGGATTAATTCAAAGCTCTGTTCATTACGATACTCGAAAGATCAACGTTTGTATTACAGATCACGACGACTAAGTGCTAAAAACACACGCGACCATAAATCCGAATAAATGTAATTAAAAGTTTAAGAACCACAGCGCTAGACGGTATGAAACAATACTGTCTGGAAAGTCGTAAGACGTATGAAAAATATGCTTTTGTGGGTGGCTGCCTTGACAAAATACTGACTCTACCGGTGCGAGTGATGATGCGAGGTATTGGTCTGTGTTTAGCGAATCAGGGGCCCTTGTTTTCCCGAGTCGCAATCCCAGACTTGTAATTACTTTATATCATAGGTAGAAGTGGAATTAATATGGGGAAACTGGACGCTTGGATTTGGGTAAAATTTACCTTTCCTGGAATTTCAGAAAATGTGTTAAATGGATCCAAATATTGAAACTAGAATATTTTATGGGTCCTGATCAAAGGGGCGGCTATTTTTTTCATCATGACCATTGATAACAGAGTTTGTAATAATGATTATATTTAGATGTTTGGATGAGAAAATCAAGATTGAAGTGTGCTGTGAAGTAGACGGAATCAAAGAAACTGCTCAGACACCGTCAGTTTAAGGCCCCATTAAAATTGTGATTTATCAGACCAAGTGACTTGACCTAATGAAATACTTGACTTCTCTTACAAGTTGACTAACAGTTTCATCATTGGCTTAACTGTATGACATTATACCATTTTGTAATAAAACACAACCTTTCGTCAACTGTTTTACAATTACTTTGTTAAAAAATTAACACCTATAGTACAATCATTCATATTCTGTATATAATTGTGATTACTTATCTGTATTAAGTATATTCCTATTTCGCCTACATTTCAACACAATCGGTCGTCAACGTTTTACAATACTGACTTAATACAATAATTAAGCATCACAAAATAAAAACACACACAGGAGAATCATTCATAATATATTAGTAATTGTAATTATCTTTCTGCTTAGCTTGTCTACATTTCGAAATAATTTTGGGTGAAGTTTTCTCAACTACTAAACCAGAATTTAATATCTGCAATGAAGAGGTCACATTTCCGATAAGATTTATTGATACAGACAAGGAGCTTACATCCGTTTCCGATAGTTTAAATGCAGCATATTATTACTAGCACAACACTTATGAAGACATGACACTTCCGCGTTGTGTGTTTGTTCAGTGATCGACAGTGACAACACTGAAATCGACACTACTCAGATGTCAATGAAATCGACCTGCTCGTCATTTGAAGGAGTAGAAGGATGTGTGTCATGTACTAACGTGTTGCTTCACTAATTATGAATCTCACTAATTGCAACATACACGGATTACCGCAGCCCCATCGATGGGAATTAAGATATAAGTTCGCAAAGTGATGCGATTTAGAACTGTCAGTGTCAGATTTAAGTACTCGATATCACGTTGAGATCTGATAAGAAATGTGTAGGAAATTAGCGTCAAGGATTTCAGTAATATTCTCGTTCGCACTAGGTGTCGAAGTAGATATTTGATCCTGGGAGAAAACTAATGTTGTTCTAACGTTCATTAATTACTTTTGTTAAACGTTTTCTTCTAGATTCTTCTGACAGAAGAATGGTTTAATGTCATGAATTTATGTCAAGTTTATTACTCGTATAATTAGTACGAGTCACATATAAGCTATCTACATATGATATTAAACATGTTGACATTTTTTAACTTGTGTAAATGGGATTAATAAGCTTCTGAAGTTTTAACTGTACACTATTATATCTAGGATATACTTAATAAACATATTTATTATTTTGAACTTAAACTCCTCTTCTGAATTGGTGCCTTTCCCAGCTGAAAGCTTATTCCTGATATTTAATAATCGCGTTCGAATAACTATCGTTAATTCAGACATTTCTTGAAATGTTCTCTTTTTAAGCGGTCTCTCTAAAAAATGTCTTGGAAACAAGAATGTCATTAACCTCACGTTTTTATGGAATGACCCTGATAGTCTTTGAACCAATTCGACACCATTTCGCCCCGAACAACACAATATATCACCTCCTTGAAGGAACAACGCCTAATTACCAGTAACATTGACTTGTACTTCTAACATAAGAGAGGCCCCAGCATGTCATCGGAAGTCAGCACAAGGGGTTTCAAGATGCCCGCACTTATACAAGTATACATTGGTCAAAACAATCAACAGTTACAATGTAAACAAGCTTCTCGAGGCGGGTGTAGGTGATGAGAAAGGACAAGCACCAGGTCCAATATAGAACATTTCCCAATGGTCATAAAACTGTTTTCCTGTATTGGCCGTTTCCTGCGTGTTGCGGTCAAGAGGGGCACCGGACGCCATGTGTAGTCCACTGCAACCTGCACGTACTGTATATTTTTTAGAAATGGGAATTCGGGGTTATATGAAAGATGAGAGTGTGATTTTCCTGATAAATACTTCGCAGAATGCCGTGAGACGCGCGTAATGCACGAGATTCGTGGGAACTGGTATGTCTGACCAGAGTGGTTTGATTTCACGTCGTTTTAAGTAACTATTCTAGGTTTGTCAGCACCAAACCCGTGCTCGTGGCTTTCACCAAAGTTGTAAACGTCTGAGACCTGCATCACTTCGGGCTTTTCTCACGCCGTGATGTAACTGGAATACTGTTAAACGCGGCGTTAAACCCAACTCACTCTAGTTTGTGTGTGTTGATTTTTAGAGAAGACTATAAACCTATATTCAGATAACCCTAAAATAGAACTTTGGGAATACATTACACGGTATTGTCAACAAGGGCGGTGGGTGTAGCCTTGTGGTTAAAGCGGTCGTCGTCCGAGTTCGATTCTCCATATGGGCTCCATGTGTGAAACCTTCTTGCTGTCTCTCGTGGTGACAAGGGGTGTATTACCACACTGGCGATCACAGTAAGTTACAGAATATGGATATATACTGGGCAACGCTCTTTCTTATGTTTTAGTGGAATTAGTAACCGTCTGATGTTCAGGTTATCTTAACCTTGTGACAGAACTAATTCCAGCCCCCCCCCCCCAGAAGTTGTTGTCCATAAAAGCTTACGTTTTCATACTGAGTGAGTGAGTTAAAATTTAACGTCGCATCGGTTTTCATACTGAATATCAGCCTTGGACTGACACGAATATTAATCACAATGTCTTGATAAGGTTTATTTCTCGGGTATGTATAATTACTAATTGGAAACATCAAAACATGTCTACATGTTGGCCTTGTATGGACTGAGGCCAATGTAGGTATATCCCCGTATTTACAGAGTATATATCAACTATAACCAGAATACACAACATACATTTAATCAGTATAATAGTTTCATCTCCTGAGTACACTTGAAGAGAGCACTTGAACATGCCAGCACCTTATCTAGATTCAATATAGATGTAAGTCACATTGGACAACATATTAAGGGATAATACGCAGCATGTGTTGAGGACGGTGTACAAATGAAGCGCATTGTGCGTATTATGCAGACTTGTAAACATTGACGGAACCCGCAGAGTGTGCTGCTCTGAAATAGGTTTAATCAAAGCCGATTTTCTGATTCAGCGGAATCCCATAGGTAAATATGTACCTAAGTATGAATGTGGCTAGTGAAGGCGTTTTGTTGCATTACACAGCATTACCCCACGACCCATGCAATGTCGTTAACTGGTGAATAGATGACCATGAGCGGATTGAACGAAGAAATCCAATCTTCTGACATGGGCTTGACACGTGCTTGAAGCAGATCATCCCTATTCGAAGCAAGAAGTCATTATGATTGACTAAACAACAAGCCCTGGAAAACAAACGTTTTTAATTTCTGCCTCTTGCCAGAAACCACGGGGAAGGGTCGGTGATGCGTGGAGCTACTGGTCGGAGCGTAATGCTAAGAGGGGATGTAAATATTACGTGTTGTTGGCCGTTAAGTGATTCTTTCATTCATCAACTTACGCCTTTACACAAACACTAAACACAGGGTGAAAGGATCGCTTAATGAAAGAATTATCAAGAATTAATCAACCCATTGAATTGCATGTCGCAGCTGTAGAACTGTCAAAACATCCTCGAAATCCGCAAATTGGATACAGGAGGCTTGGATCACACTTACTCCTGGCTATTGTGTGTCTAGTTAGGCTAAGCCGCTCCTTAACAATGATCCCAACAATGCTTCCATAAAGACTAATTACTTGTCCATTGTCTTAAAGAACACGACTCCCCGGGTGTGAAGTCCACCCGTATTAACGCTCTGGTTGGAGGATTTGAGTATTTAAAGTCAGAGGAGAGTTGACAGGGGCACTTCAGCTTCGGCCTTCTCACTGTGCACACCTACCAGTATATAACACACACTCGGATTCATTACATCATTCTGTGATTCGGATCTATACCATCATGATTCTTGAAGGAAGTATCCCCGTGAAGAGGCATTCATTCTCCATCGAGAACCTTGCAAAGAGCAGTCGTGACGAGGAACGGACTACCAGGGCCATGGACTTTGGGGGTCGGTTTCCCATCAACCTCCCCCTCAGCCTCCCCCCAGTGGATTGTAAACTATCTCCCGGACTTACATACGACCGTGCCTCATCCCCACAGGATGTCAAGGTCACTACCGACGCCACCCCTGCGACCAGGAAACGTCCCCGGTCGGACAGTGCATGTAGCCCTGATTTCATGACAAGCACCCCCAAGGGAGGGGACAGGTCACCCTACTCTACCCTCAGCGAGAGGAGCTTCACCCCCTCTGTGTCTGGTATGTACAACTTTTGGATTCTTGAGATTTCATGAAAGTTGAACTTATCATGATTCTTTGAAACAAAATTGAACTTTATATATATATATATCTTGTTCATTATGGAAAATAATACAAATGATCATTAATTGTTTAGGTTTTGATTATTAAACGTGGAAATTTGAATTCATTATTTGTTTGAAACTTCATGTCCTCGACAATTTTTATTTTCGAATTATCTTTAATACAAGAAAGACATCGTTAATCGGATATCGTTGTTCCATCCTCTTCCCATGATGTATATTTCATTATTCCATCCTCCTTTTCCAGACGATGACTCAGATGGCGAACCCTCCAGGAAGAAGAAAGCCCGCACTGCCTTCACGAATGACCAGGTCACTGCCCTGGAGAAGAAGTTCCGAGATCAGAAGTATCTTGCGGCCAGCGAGAGGGCTGACCTCGCTGACCAGCTCAAACTGACTGACCAACAGGTAATTACACCATTTGAAGTACAGCTGATTTCCATGTGCACAGAATACATATCTCATTCTTGGCGTAGCCGCCGTAATACGGCTGTAGTAATGTTATACACGGTTACAATCATGATCTTATGATGTCGTTGAGATTGATACACTTTGTAACCAGTGTCTTCATAGTTTTATCAGTGTACATGTTTCATATCATTTCACACCCGTGAAGATTCGGGTAGAGAATAGGTCTTCAGCAACCCATGCTTGCCGTAAGAGGCGACTGTGCTTGCCGTAAGAGGCGACTAACGGGATCGGGAGGTCAGACTCACTGACTTGGTTGATGCACGTCATCGTATCATAATTGTGTAGATTGATGCTCATAATGTCAGTCACTGGATTGTTCCAGACTCGATTATTTATAGACTGCCGTCATATTGCTGAGTGCAACAAATCATAACATTTTAAAGAAGTATATGTTTACAACATGGTTTCTTATTTCAAATACTTATGTTCCCTTCTCTGTTTTCCAGGTGAAGACATGGTTCCAGAACCGTCGTATGAAGGAGAAGCGTCAGTTGAACCACCGAGAGGAGCAGGCCCGCTTCCCCTTCCCTACAGGGGGAGTCGACGTCACCCAGCTCCAGGGGCTCAGATTCCCAGCCTACCCCCAGAGCCACGACACCACGCCCAGCTTCTCACCCTCGGGACTACCCCACCCCGGGATGGGCCTCCGCCCTTCCATGATGCCCGAGCTCCCACGGCCCACAGGACTCCTACCACCATCCCTGTCACCCCACCCCCTCGGGTCCATGTTCTCACCCCAGGGGAGCTACCCCGCCATGTCTCCACTCGACCACATGAGACAGATGAGGTCCCCCATGATGTTTCCAATGTACTAGAGAGAGAGACTCGTCAGCCATTGCTAGTGGCTGTTAAAAGAAAACCACACGCAGTGCCCGATTGGACAATTGTGCATCCTAAGTGCTATTTGTATATATTTTGTTTTGCTATGAGAATCTGCTCAAGTTTGAATGTGAGACCGAATGTGTGTAAATGCTAATATATGATCCACTTGTGATAGCATGAATAAATGTGTATGAAATTTACAGAATTGTGTTGAGCTCATTGAACGAACATCTTCAGTGATCGTTAGGTCATCAATACGATGTAGAAGAAGTGGACGTTTCTGTCAAAGTACCCTTGATAATCTGCTGATAAGTGAGCGTTCAAGATCTGCATGGTATCTAGCACAACGAAACCCGTCACTGAGGTTTGATACCCGATAAAAATGTCTGGTAACAGTTCCACCGACAATTTCGTCAAGACCGGTTGAAGAGAGAAGGTGCGAAACAACGCCACAACTTCTCCAAACGTACCCACCACGTGCCTGACTTGTTACAAGCTATGAGCTCCAGATATGTTTGTGCTCTGGTCGTCACGGGGGCGGTGGGGTAGCCTAGTGGTCAAAATGTTAAACCGTTCGCTTGTCACGATTAGCCATATGGACGCAAAGTGTGAAGCCCATTTCTGGTGTCCCCCGCCCTGATATTGCTGGAATACTTCCGCGTAAGCGGCGTAAAGCTATACTCACTCACTTCTGGTTGTACGGAAATCTTATAATTTGAGTGTTTCTGTTTGACTTCCTGTTCCTTCTCACCGAGTGTCATCATCAGCCAAACAACGTCCCCGTGGGGTTAAGAAATGCGGTTAACGCCTTTATGACCCTTACGTCCACGTGAAATATAATTTCACTGTGTTAAATCCATGTCACTCATTCTGCAAAACATATTTCTAAAAACTAACGCCTATCGTTTCAGAAACTATCAACAAAACGTTTAATCAGTGAATGTCTGTACATACAGTTACACCCATTCTGTTAAATATAGTCCTGGCAAACAGATCCTTACATATGCTATGTCAACAATAAACGTCTTATCTATGCGAATATTCATGCTAAACACGAAGATCCATGCTTATTCTGTCAAACGTATTACTCGCAAACGGATTTCCATACAATGTCACCAGTGAAGATCCGGTTTAGAAATGGTATTCAACAAGCCATGATCGTCGTAAGAGGAAACCAACGGGATCAGGTGATCATGCTCGATCTGATTAATGCATGTCATCGTGTCCTTATTGCGTAGATCGATGCTCATGACATCCATCAGTGGTCAGCATTGTCTGGTCTAGATTTGTTGGCTTACTGACCGCCGTCATATGGCTGGAATATTGTTGAGCGCGGCGTTAAACAAAAATAAATAAATACATAAAACATGTCGGCAAAACGTCTCATGTTTGTGTATGACCATGTTCAACCCAGAGCTGACATGGTTTTCATTTACACCTCCTGTGTGTCATGCAGGTTACATTAAGAGCAACAATAAACTATCTTCAAGGAAGCCAGAACACTGCTTTGCTATTTTCCTGTTTCATATTTATGGTACGAAATGAACGTGCATAATGAAACCGGTCCAATTACGAATTTGATATCCGATTGATGCAAGCGTGGGTACACATTTGAAATATTTACCTCTCAAACCGATTTGATAATATCATGTCAAAGCACACACATGCGTTCGACCATTCTAAGAGCAGAAAACTACTGCACACCATGTGCACTAGAACGGTTAATGACGACCACATGCTTCAAGCGATGTAGAAGGTGTTCTTTGCTAATCTAAAATCATTTCCTTTCTTGGAAGGAAAGACGGGTATAATCTACTTGGCTTGGGCTGGTGTCTGTATCATCTCGTTTATTACTGACAGAAGGTCTTTAACTACCATCCTCTGATAAAACACTCCAAATATGTATTAAAGTCAGTATAAATTGCACAGATGTCTTGCTAATTAGGCTGTATAGTCAGGCATCTAGCCTTCATCATTTGAAAACGCTGTAATTAAGATGAAAACCCCCCCGATATTCTTGTAATGGTAGGCGATTACGCGTCCAGTATAACTTAAGTATTACAAACAAATGAATAATAGTCCTGCAGCTATTTCAAACAGCGAAACTTCTTTGTGTAAAATAACGCTCAGACGTGTATGTATAACCAAAAATGCACAATTAATTTTGTTGACATCCGTGTTCCGCCACGTGCTTCCAGATATGGTCACTTGGCTATATGATTATGCGTCACAAGTAGGTCAAGATGTCATTCCTTGTTTACCGGCTTCCAGTGAATTTCATACACGCGGTGTCTCCCTATAGTCATGTTAATGTGTATTAGAAAACAAAGTGTTTTCAGTACGTTCTGATAATGCCAGTTAAAACTAAGGCTTCTGTTGATGCTTTACATGGAAAATGTCCTACTTTTTCAAGTGTGTACACGTGTGAGTTAGACTGTTGACAATGTTATGTCCTTGAGTAATGTTCTGTTTAAAAAATGACAACAGGATGGACACTACTGAATACAGGGATATTGTTTTAACATTGCAAAGAGCCTAATGCGACCCTTGCTCAAAAGGTGTTTGATCATGGTTATAACTTAAGCTTGCTAAAAGTTTTATGGTAGACATTTTGAGAATATTTTCAAACTTTGACGCACAAGTGACAAAAATGATGTCCGATTTTATCGCGAACACCTAGTGTCATGGCTATTTAATAGTGATTGAGGGATGATGGGCTAACCTAGTGGTTAAAGCGCTCGCTCGTCACACCGAAGACCGGGGTTCGATTCCCCACACGGGTACAATGGGTGAAGCCCATTTCTGGTGTCACCCGCCTCTTATTGCTGGACTCGAACGTCTCTGCTTTTAGCAGAAATTTCTTATGAATATGGAAAGGTTTTTGTCGCTTTTATTTACCCCACAGCACTATTCCGACAAGATTATAAACTGAAACATTAATGAGAAATGACAAGCCGCTATTGACAGACATCTCGTAATACGCGTTGAGTTTATATGTGCAACCAAAACGAAATGAAGGCAAGTTCTGATGAACGCAAATAATATGTTATTATTAAATTAAATGAAACCATTTCCTTACACAGTCACTAGTTTTGAACTTTTCAATTACAGGGTTTTGAGTCGCATCCACTCGACATTCTTTTCTTTGTAATTCCTTTCGCATTAACCTCTGTTAAGATCAACATTGCCGTCAATATTGACATAAGGTCTTGACTGTCGTTTGAAACAGGAAATTAGATTTCGCACGCATGAAAAACCCCTTATTTCCCAACAATCAGAAATGGATTTCTGCTCGTTAGCATCTTACGGATAACAATAGAAGTACTGAACTGTGAAAGAAGTTAAACGTTACAGGGTTAATCCTAATCGGCTAAACTTGACCCCAGTAATGAGGTCACACATATATCCTGGGAGGGGTTAATTAACACGGACACGGTAACAATTGGTGTTACTATTATACTGCCTTATATCACCTAGGCGTGAGAGGGACTTTAACCATCACAGGTAAAGGTTGCTGTCTCACACATAGGGAGAAAATATACTGCCGGCAATTGCTTTGATAAGATTGTAAATGGATCAGGCTCGTTAATTTCATATGCGTGTTATCAGAGTACAAACGATTTAACAATTGAGCGATAATCAAAATCTTTACGTTTTTATCGCCCTGTTCTTATTCGAAGACTTTAGAGATTTGCTGCTATCTTGGGTATTGAATTAGTAACATTGAATGTTTTCAGTAAAATCTGAATGTACTGGTTCTATAATGAACGACTACATAAGACAGGAAATATTGACCTCAACAAGGAGCTATGTCAGAAAACGGTATCTGTATTTTCCACAAACTCAATAATGTTTACATGTGTATAAGAAGGGTTAACCAGAAAATACTTATTTAACATAAATACACTAAACTTTCATTTCATATTTGGCAATCATTCGAAGAACATATTTCATATATTTATTAGTCTCTATTTTATCCTACCTGTTTAGAATATTTTTCATGAAAACGTGTGTGTTGGTGATTTAGTTTATCCACGAATACAAAAATATATTTTAAATCATCATACCTACATTCAACCCCCAATGATTCAGACAGCACCATTCCCAGTGAAGTGGTTGGGGTAACGATATCTCTGGATTAATGAATGGCATATTTATTACATGTTCATAAGACTAATTGTGGGGAAAACAGGATGCTTGGACTCAATTTTCAGTGTGATTATTTGTGAATTTGAAATTTACCAAACAGGCAATGCCATCTATGTGAGGTAGGGAGTTGTGCTTGGGGCTGTTTTGTTCAGTGTTTCAGTTACATCACAGCAAGAACCTAGTGTGGGAGGAAATCCCAAAGTGATGCAGGTCTCAGATGTTTATCACTTTCATGGTGACGACAAAGGAACTCATACTCACAGGATTCTGGTACACAAAAGGGATGCAACTCTGCACATGTGTACAGCTCTTTGTCTCAAGTGACTGGGCCAACCAGCCCATCGATGTATGTACGAAATGATTACAAACTGCATCATATTAGCGGTACTTCATTCATGTTTATTTTGGCCGAGGCTATGTTGGTGGTAGAAATGTGGTATATACATGGCACAGGAGGAGAAGGCAATGTACAGACTTACACAAGTTATCATGTTTCATTATAGTCAGTTCAATGTTCAACAAGGACATGGCAACCCTCTCACCCTGAAGTAAAGACACCACCCTGCTACTTGAAGCAGGTGGCGGACACATACCTGGTATACAGAGGAGACTACTCAGACATGCTGTAGGATACCTCCATGTGCCAACATAGATGTGGAACACACAAACGTATGCCGACCATGCTTGTAGTACGAGGCTCATGTGGAAACTGTACCTTCTCAACCCTACATAATATCCATGACATTATAAAAGTGGGAAATTGCAAATATAAAGTAAAATATCACAGCTATGGTTTTAATATGCCATAAAATAATCACTTAAAATAGAATAAATTAATAAAAGGAGAATATAGGCACTGACTTTGGACAAGTTAGTTGCTTGAGGTGAGGCTGGACTGGGAGGCAAGCGAAGCTATGAATATTCCTCAACATACTGGGACATGTTGTGCAAGGAAATAATACCCTTTCTTCAATTCATGTAACCATGAACAAGAATGAGTTATATATGTGGACTTCCAAAAGGGAAACATTTCATGACATACGTTTTTATTTTTGAAGAGAGCTGTCTTGTACAGTATTTCAGTTATATCACAACATGTCAGTTTAAGTGATGCAGTTCCTTGACGTTTACCACTTTGGTGAAACCCACAAGCCCAGGGATGGTGCTGATAAACCAAGATTCATAGTCAGGGAATCTTGGTTTTGAACCCATGATCATTTGATTCTTACATGACTAAGGGATGCAACTCAGCACAGCAAATCGCAGCACACTAGATGACAGGGTACATGTGTCCCCTTGTTTTCTAGCAGGCTCACCATCTGAGAATAAACAGTCTTAGCACAGTGTAGCACTTGGATGTACCTTGGTAATCCACAGGGATTGGTCTTTACTGCAGTTTCCTGTCAAGGTTCTGAGCCTTGTGTTATGACTGTTGCTGTGTCAGTACCATGACAAGACTTACACTAGCAACAGAGCTAACTGTGTGAGACTGATGTGTTACATGGATGTATTAACAAGGAAGATGAATCAACAGACACACAGCACTTCTAGACTGACATGGCACGCTCTGGATAACACTGACACTTTATCATTACATACGACAAAATCTTCCTATCTGGATGGCCAGATGCTGTCTTGTTACAATTCTACACACAATGGTTGCTATCACAATCTCACTTATCCAGCACATCATAATTGACTCTATTCAATCTTTGATACCATGAGTGCCTCTTTGTTGGCCCTAAGATAAACTGTCACATGGGAATATTTCACTGAAATAGATCATTTTACCTTTTGAGTAATGACACATATGATGCACTACAACATCCTTATACAACCAGGTAATGACATTGTAAACCCATTGGTCCATGTCGCAGAGATGGCCATTCATGTACATGTACAAGCAAAACACGAGTGCACAGCATATTGTTTCATAGCTGTGTGTTCAAAAGATGAAGTGTCACAAGCATATTCAAGCATCTGTTACTCAGCATCTGTCAGTATCTTCAAGACTTATCACTGTCCCTGAAGCTACCAGATGTACTGATTCATTTAGTTTGGAAGGGTTTTCATGATCACATAAGCATATTTGTAACAAATGTAATACTGACATGAAAAGTTACTAAAACACTCATACATGTATTCATATTCATTGACAACTAATATTTCCATGTCTTGTTCTAAATCACCACAAAAACTGCGTAAACTACTGTAAAAGAATTAATGCTGGGAAACCTGTATTATCCTCCGAACATTTTAGGGGAACCACAATATCAGCAAACATTAATTCAGCAGTAAGGTCAACAAGTTTCAAAACAGGACCATTTAACACAATACATTCACTTCATCTTCAGAATGTCCTTATCAAACACACACTGAGGGGAGACCGTGATCGTGGAACTAGCACAAGGCCGACACAGGAGCCTGAGTGACCAGCACAAGGCCGACACAGGAGCCGGAGTGACCAGTACAAGGCCAACACAGGAGCCTGAGTGACCAGTACAAGGCCGACACAGGAGCCTGAGTGACCAGTACAAGGCCAACACAGGAGCCTGAGTGACCAGTACAAGGCCAACACAGGAGCCGGAGTGACCAGTACAAGGCCGACACAGGAGCCTGAGTGACCAGCACAAGGCCCTCACAGGAGCCTGAGTGACTAGCACAAGGCCGACACAGGACCCTGAGTGACCAGCACAAGGCCGACACAGGAGCCTGAGTGACCAGTACAAGGCCAACACAGGAGCCGGAGTGACCAGTACAAGGCCGACACAGGAGCCGGAGTGACCAGCAGAAGGCCGACACAGGAGCCTGAGTGACCAGTACAAGGCCCTCACAGGAGCCTGAGTAACCAGCACAAGGCTGACACAGGACCCTGAGTGACCAGCACAAGACCAACACAGGACCCTGAGTGACCAGCACAAAGACCAACACAGGACCCTGAGTGACCAGTACAAGGCCATCACAGGACCCTGAGTGACCAGTCCAAGGCCGACACAGGACCCTGAGTGACCAGCACAAGACCCTGAGTGACCAGCACAAGGCCAACACAGGACCCTGAGTGACCAGCACAAGGCCAACACAGGACCCTGAGTAACCAGCACAAGGCCAACACAGGACCCTGAGTGACAAGCACAAGGCCATAACAGGACTTTATTCAAGTTGCTTCACAATCCAAAATGACAACACACACATAGATTCCTGGCAGAGAGACCATGAAGGCTGCCACAGATACAACCCAAACCCAGCTCCATACCGGTAAGTTCAACCCAAACCAAGCTCCATACAGGTAAGTTCAACCCAAACCCAGCTCCATACCGGTAAGTTCAACCCCACAGCAACCTGCTTCTAAACACAGGAGCATCAAACACAACCAACTTCATCAATATGGGGAATCATTAATAAACAATTTGACACAGAGGTAAAGTCACAGTTTGTGGCAAAATAAAATATTGTGCACTAGGTAAAATAAAGACAGAACTTGTAGAATACACATTTAATGTGAATAATATAAATAAATACATTGGCTTAAATACTTGGGTCAGATGTCTCCCAGTGCCATCCATGCCAGGACGGAAATGACACAGGAAGGTCAAGATTGACAACTGTGATATACAGCAATGGATGGCACCTGCGAAGACAGCCCAAACTTTTCATGAACAAAACTTGGGTCAAACATGAATCATATCATTACCAGTATCTTGACCTTCACAACAAATCTTACCTCATATCCATAATCATTCATGAATGTTTACACAAAGTTTATACTACATGCTGTACATAATCATTGGACTAACAATGCTTGGTATGATATAAATAGTTAATGCTCTCCATACAAATATATATTACATTCATGATAATACTTGTATACAATCAGATACTCTTTGTACAGTGACGTGTGATGATGAATACTGGAATTCAGCTACTTGTAGCTATGGAGGTGGACAGACAAGACCAAGGGATGTAAGATTTATCGGACAAATTTTTTGGTAAAGGCTGGCTGTGGTAGAGGTTTGGCTGGGTTGAGGCGCTCATCATGCAGTGGGGACCCTGGGAGGGGGTCTAGACGCTGGTTGTTGCCGGACAGGCTCGGGGCACTCGAATGTTTGGCTGGGTTCTTGTCACCCTTCCTCTTCTGAAACAGAAATACAAGTCAGATGTAGTGAATGCGTATATACATGATGTAATGGCTAGACCATAACGAATCACATGTTTCATTTAAATCAGAAAATGAGACTGATGAAATGTTCGATACCTACAATAGATGAGTGAGTGAGTGAGGCTCAACAGGCTTGTGTAGGGTAACAGAAATGAAACCTGTATGAAATCAGAATTCAGACGTGTGCCATTGATGAGTCCATTAAACAGAATGAGTTCAGATCAACACAGCTGTAAAACATATCCCATTCACATACATAGAAATTCCAGAGAAACTACGTTCTGGATATTTACCACTGTGGTGAAACCCACATGCACAGCCATGGTGCTGACAAACCCAGCATCATATTCATGAATCATGGATTTGAACCAATGGCTTGTGGATCAAGGCATGCCTGCAATTTGCAGAATACTGGCCCAACATGCAAACAGTTGTACCAGTACATGTCCCAATCAGCAACGGGTCATGCTGAACAATGTGAATAGACATATGAAGTTAATCCTACAGCATACATACAGGACTAGGGAAATTCATGTAAAGACATTATGGCCAATAATTCAAACAGTACACAGACTGCTTGTCAGATATGCTTTGGGCATTGGCTACGTTTGTGATCCACTGACCTTGACATTGAGAGGGTTGAGGATGCCGACGTTAGGACTGCTGTTGAAGACCTTGTTGAAGTTTGTCTCCCTGTTGACCAGCTCCAGCTGATAGAACCGCTTCTCATCCTGCAAATACATAGGACTTCAGCACAACTGCTTACAACACAGGTCAAGGCATTGCCAAAGACTGGCATACTGCTGAGGCTACTGACCAAGGTAAACTGACCCTCTGGCTACCCTGTAGTCTTCACATGGAACATACCTTGACAACACCATCTACCCGTGAAGCAAGTATATTTTATGACTGCTTCATATGCAACTAACCATCTTGGAGTCAGAAAGTGAATGTGTTGGAATATGAGGTTAAACTTCAAAGTCTGAACTATACGATGGTAGTCTACAAACTGTGAAGGTTGGAGCCTTCTCGGTGCGATAGGGTTATCAATCATACCATGATCTCCTTGAGGCGCTGCTCTCTCTCCGCTATAGCATCTCGCAGCTGCTGAATCAGCTCCAGGTCTTCTGGGCGGGACTCACGGTTCTCATACCTCTCTTCTGCCTCCTCCAGTCTGTAACACAAAGTACAACATTGGATTAAACATGGGAGTCATAGGTGGATGTCTTAAACCACAGTCAGCATTTATAGACAATGATAGGATGTAGAGGATCCAAACCATAAGTGTGAACCTGGACCAGCCAAACCGGTCAACAGCATGAGCAATGATACACGCTGCTAGATTGCAATAACATCGCAACTAAGAAGTCATATTCAGCAGCCACTGTGACATCTGGTTGCCATCTTGGTAGCCACTTTCAACAAGCAGGACATCATGTTCTACACCAGAAACCTCACATGGACTCCTCATGGAACAATATGGCATGCCTTATTTGGTAGCAATGTCAACACACCTAAGGAGTTGCCACTGGGAACATACTTACGAGGAACATCTTGCATGGTGCCAGTAATGACAAAGGAGACACAAGAGTCTTGACACTTCTGTTTCTGCCCAAGAAGCAATGTTTTCGGGATGTACGGTAAGTGCATGTTGATGCCTGTGAGTTATGATTCTCTTAGCACTAAGATTGCATTGAGGAACAGACCCCTGCCCCCACTTTCTGTGTGACAAGGACATTTTCTGTACCTCTGTTGTCAAACGAATTATATGAATTTGCTTAATAAACTTCATAAAGAATACACAAATTAAATTGTTTTCTCAGAGAATCTTCATATGCTATATCCAATTCATTCATGGGCAGTAGTGGAAGATGCCTACGTGCCCGCTTGTTTGAGTGGGGTAAGGAGGCCCAAGTACATGACCCCCTACAGTTCAGCTGAAAGTCTGCTCATGTCAGTCTATTCACAACAAGGAAATATATTTGTTTCAGTCCACATCATCACAATTCATGGAGTCATGCTGTATTTAGTCCATACAACAAATCTCCAGACACTTGTTAATATCAACTGCAAGTTGAGCAAATAATGACCTCAACATCCTGGTCAAGAGACCCCGCAACCTGATGAGGTCCTTCAGAGCAATTGAGACATGGACATAGTGAAGTTTGTTGTTTTTTCTCTCCGTCTTCAATCCACTTCACTCACTCGTGTTATCAGTCCAGTGGATCTCATGTTACTTTGGGGCAGAATTACGTCACGACTCACCACTTCAAGTCAAGTGACCAGCTCTCACACAGAGGCTGATTAAATAAGTGATTTGTTTCTTGACAAAAGTACATGTTCAAGTTAATGTTTGGACAAGTTTTTGTTTATTGATTAACGCAACACTCAGCAATATTCTTGTCATAATATGGGGGCCTACAGTGTAAATAATCAAATCTGTCCAACATATACCAGTGATTGATATTTTAAGCAATGTCCCATGTGATGGTCTATAACATGCCATCTACCACTTCAGCAAGCCTGATCATCCGATCCATTTAGCCGCTTCTTACCACCAGCAAATGTTGTAAATCAATTCTAACTGGATTGCGTATGGGATGGAGTACAGAATGTCAGATGTAAAATTGAATTTTTACTTTATTGTTGGTTCTATAATTTGCCTTGAAGAGAAATGGAAAGTCAATGCAATACTGCAGAAATAATGATGTAAGCTCATACTCATAGTAATTGGCAAGAAATTACTTTGTTCAGCAGCCAAAGGCAGTCCAGTGGCTCCAGGAGACACAACTCACTGCAGCATGGAAAACTAAGCATGAAAGTCCAGGGAACTTTGTCATCCCACTAATAATAAAAGTTAAAATGTTCTTGGGGTCCCTTGATCTCCATCCTATAGGAGCAAACCTCAAAGAGCATGTTACACTGGCTGTCAGGTTCTTTGTATTGTCAGTTCAAATCCTATATTTGTCATGACAATGATCCATGGTTGTGTTGGATAAAAGGAACAAGCATGAAATACATATATCCCCCGCCAATATGACATGTTCGGTTGTGAGCAAGGCACTAGACTTCCTGAAACAAGCACTACTGCCATTTTCAGTCTACCGGTAAGTAAAAATTGTTGCCATGGAGCTTGAAAAAATAAAATTGTAAAAAATTCCAAACCATCAAAAGACACCAGTCCACCACTGGACCTATCTATGTGCCAAGTTTAGTTAAGATATCTCTCATGGTTTTTGAGTTCTGCTCCAGAAACAAAACAAAATGTGATGGACAGAAGGACAGAAGGACAGATGGAAAACGTCCATCACTTTGTGGCAGGGGATAATAAATGTATAAAACCTGTTCAGACTTTCATCCCAAATTGAAAACTACATGATAAGATGACTATACTACTTCTGAATCAGTGTACACCTCAGGAAAGTCACTCCCTCTCAATGTGTTTCATTTGGAAAGTTCAAGCTCCTGGCTTGATATTGATTTGTTTTTATCACAATAATGTTGCCCAGAAAACAGAATACATGAACAAGACCACACATGATCAGTGCTGTCAGTCTTGACTGCATCCTGCATAGGAAGTTGCATCAGCAAACGCCTCACTACACCTACACCTACAACCTGTTATTGTGACACCTGGCCATGTTGAGGCAACATTACAAAGAGGTAAGCAGTGAGTTGAGGTCTTATGCTGCTCTTAGCAACAAACAAGTCACGTAGTGTTGAGAAACAGACAATGTGCGTCACAGCTTGTACCCATGTGGAACTAGAACTGCATCATGAGCGAACGCATTAACCTCGTGGCTACTCACTGCCCTACAGACTTAGGAAATGAATCCAGAATCATACAGCTTAAAACTCCATTATCTGAAACGTTGTTGCCATTATGTAAGGAACTATGTGGCATTATAAAAAGATGGCATTACAAGTGGCAGACTCCGTGAACCCTTGTTATGACACTACTGAAATGTATTTCGGCAGAAATCCGGCATCCCAGTGACTTACCCACTTGCAGGCATCATGCCAAACAGGAGATGACAGACATCTTGAGCATTCCTTCCTAATACAACTTAAGACCCACTCCAATGTTGATATATCCAAACAGACTGAGTGTATTGGTGGAATCCCATGTACACCTCGTGAACTACTCCAGTGAAGACAACACCAGAAACAGCATCTTATCTACACCAACACATCTACAGGATCAGCATTTTAGTGGGGTGTTCAGCTCTATACCTTGGTTGCCATTTGGGGACATGATGCAGGGTTAGAAACTAACAGTTTTCGTCCACTATTCCTTATAACATATAGCAAAACCCTTAAAAATGGCAAATTTCTACAAGTCCTTATGATACCTTTACCATTGGGCAGTTTGGCTTGGACTATAGGGCTAGTGCCAATTTCTAACGCTGATGAAACATGAACGTCTTATAGCATACATTTCTTAACACAGAATGGTAGAGACAAAATATGTCAGTCATACCCATGATAAGATTCTACTGGCTTGGTAAAGTGCCAGATTATGTCCTGTCCTTTGTTAGTTTCACCATCCCACAGAGGCCCTTGAATGTCATTAAGAAGTCCACTGATGCCTACTTCGATAAATGAGTATCAGTGTGAGTGACATAGGTTGAACACAACTTTGAAACATATTTCATGCCGTGTTAGCCTTATGAAGGAGGGAAGTCTAAAATGGCCAAGGCCAAAGACATTTCCCACTTTGGTGAAACCTATGAACATGGGTATGGCACCAACACACCAAGAATCAAAATCAAGGTTAATATGAGAACTAAACTTACAATCAACAGATGTAAGTCTGGCTTTACCCCAAGTGCTGCACTGTTTATCTCTACAAGTGGACTGTCATTTCTTGTTCCATCAACAGCCATAACAGCATACATAACAAGATGTGAAGTGGTGCCACCATTTGGCTCAGCTAGGTGCATGTATGCTGCTAACCACAGCAGGTACATTACAGTGTGGAACAGTCTCGTGTTTAACAGCCGGGTAAGTATATATCCGGAGAGGAAAAGAAACCAATGTAAGAGGTGGTATTTAAGTCACCCCCCTATAATCAATTAGAAGCTTCCTCCAAGCACCTTCCCTTGATGTATTTACACAAGAGCTTCCAGTTACGTCAAGCTACATCTATTATGGATGCCCCACTAAAAATAGAAGCAATAAAGTGTGTGGTCCTACCGGTACTTTCATTAATGCAGGACCATTACCATTAGGCAAAAAGGAGCTCCAAATAAAAACCCAGTGCAAAATGATCTGCTTACAATGCAGTTTCCAGTAATGTTCAGGGGATTTTATCTGCCATGGTCCAGTCCTATTGTGGAAAGATTTCGTTTCAATTTGAAAAAATGTAACCCACTGTCAATTTAATTTTAGTCTTGAAACCAAAAAAAGAGTTGTTTTATTGCATTTTACTGATGTGAACCAAGAATTATTTTCATCTGCCTAACCATCAACACTACCCACTGGTTTGCTTACTGACACAGACAACATCATGAACCAAGCCACTGACCCCGGCCAAGGGCCCACTGTAAGGTGGTGTGGAGTATTTCCTCTATACAATGCAGTGTGCACTCACTGTATCTGCAGCTCGGAGATCTTATCCTTCAGCATATCCTGGGCCTGGTTGAACTGCGCCACCATGTCCTGCATCTCACGGATGTGGTCAGCAGACAGGTTGTCCAATGTCCGCTGGTGCCGGCCCTGGAGCTGCTCCTCTTGAGACCTGATGGTGAGACGAGGGGCACACATGGTAGATGGCTATCGCCAGGAGTAACCTGCGCGTGGCACAAGGTCAGGCGCATAAACAAATGCTGAGAGAACTTAACTAACCTGGAAGCTGTTGAGAATTTCCCATACTATTAGTTATTACATGAGTCATTAGTTTGGTGACTGGGATTTCATGTGCTTTAAGGACATGCACACCTCTACACGTTCAGCTTGTAAAGTCTGTAGACAATGTTAATGACGTACAAAATTTGAAAATAATTGGATGGTTATTAGATCTATCTTGTGGCCTTTCAGCAGTCATTCTTGAGTTTTTCAGAGTCGACTGTGTTATCAGAATGCCTGAACAAACCATCCTGCTTCTTGTGTGGGCTTTTACAATTTGTGCAACTGACCTATCAAATGTTAGACTTCATACCCACTAGTTAAATGAGATGATTAATTCTCAGAAAACGTGTTGAAGTTAACTAAACAGTTTGTGTCATATTATTTACTTTAAAGGATTGGAATATGGGCTATATCTTTGAGCACTTCTGTACTATATCCACATTTGAGTGAACAGTGTTACACCCATCACCAATATTCCAGCCATTACACCAAGACCGTACTTCACACACACTAATGTGTGGGGGTCAGGCAACCCCACCACCCCCTTGCCAACCCAGATACATCCAACCTACTTGAGTCTGCTGTTAGCATCACTCCTGGCTTTGAGGACTTCCTTTCCTTTTGTGGTGATCTCTTTCTTCAGTTGATCAATGTCATTCTGCAACTTGCGTATCTCCTCCTCCAAGTTCTTGATGTGCCGCTCCCGCTGAGTTATCTCCCCTTGTAGATCTTCTATCCTCAGTGAATGGTCATTGTCCTATGATTGGGAAAGTGAGTGAGGGAGTGACAAGAAGTTATACAACACCACAGTGAGTGATATTCCAGGTATATGACTGTGGCCTGCTCATCATAGAGTGAGTGAGTGAGTTGGGTTTAACGCCGCTTTTAACAGTATTCCAGTTATATCACGGCGTGTCAGCTTAATGTGGGAGGAAAGCCCGAAGTGATGCAGGTCGCAGACACTTACCACTTTGGTGAAACCCACGAGCACGGGTATGGTGCTGACAAACCTAGAAACATAATGGGGGCAAACCAGGATTCGAACCCACAATCATAGGTTTCTGGCGTGCCCAAGGGACGCAACTCTGCACAGTGAATCGCGGCGCCTTAGATGACTGGGCCACCCGTGCCCCCCATCATAGCCAGAAAAAGCAATGTTTGAATCATGAGTAATGGTCATGCCACCAGGGTACTATGATACATAATCAGACAGGCCCACAAGGGAACTTCCTCATCAGTTGGCTCCTGACAAGCATGGGACATCGAGGTCCTATTCTGATCTTGAATCCCACAGGGGGATTGGCACTATTATTAGTGTATACACGATTATACATCGTAAGCCATCTCTGACTAAGATAATGAAATGTCAAATATGCAACTTAACAATACCTGTTACTTTCAGTTTGACATCATGCAGATATCTTAATTTAGCTGTGGTTAACTGTGTGAGCTTGTGTTGTTACCTTTTGTTTAGAGATCTCTACAGCTCTCTCCAGCTGCATCCTGGCAGCTGTCAGCTCCCCCTGGTGGCTCAGCTTCAGTTGTTCCAGCTCCTGCAGGTGGGAGCTGGTCAGCTCATCACGCAGCTCGGCTGTAATACACAGGAGGAACCATAGTTATCACCAACATAATAATACTGGTCTATACACTAAGTACTTGCACTGTGTACTGAATATGATGTCCTTATTAACACGTACTGTAATACATGGCTCAATCATAAACACCTTTTTCCACTGACACATTTGTCATCTAAAAATTCAGTATAATTACTGACACTGAAGGAGATGCGTGTTTTGATAATCAACATCTCAATTTCCTCTAGAAGAAGGTTTTAGTTTGACTGGCACATACACTTTAAGCGATAGAAACATAATTTATTTGCCATACATAAAGTCCTGGATCAGCCCATGCTATATAGCTATGGTGTACCTAGTGCAGTCTTGTGTTTGTCAGCCATGTCGGACACCTCGGTGAGCCTGGCCCTGTCGGCCTGCTCCTTGATGCTCTCCACTGTAGCCCTGTGAGCTGTTGTCTGGGCCTTCATGTCCTCAATGTGCTGCGTCCGCATCTTCTTCTCCATTTCCTGTAACACGCAGACAGAGCATGACACACTCATATAGCATGACACTTGTATAGCATGACACACTCGTATAGCATGACACACTCATATAGCATGACACACTCGTATAGCATGACACACTCGTATAGCATGACACTCATATAGCATGACACACTCATATAGCATGACACACTCATATAGCATGACACACTCATATAGCATGACACTCATATAGCATGACACACTCATATAGCATGACACACTTGTATAGCAGGACACTCATATAGCATGACACACTAAAATAGCATGACACACTCATATAGCATGACACACTCGTATAGCATGACACTCATATAGCATGACACTCATATAGCATGACACACTCGTATAGCATGACACACTGTATAGCATGACACTCTCATATAGCATGACACTGTATAATACGACACACTTATATAGCATGACACACTGTATAGCATGACGAACTCATATAGCATGACACACTGTATAGCATGACACACTCATATAGCATGACACACTCATATAGCATGACACACAGAGCTATTGTGACACACCTGTACAGCATGACACACACAGGTGTATCATGACAAACCTATGTATTATGACACACCTATACAGCATGACACACCTGTATGGCATGACACACACAGGTACATATAATGCAACAATCAGCATTATTCCAGCTCTATGACAGCAGCCTCAAATAATCAAGGCTCAGCCAGACAAACTAGAGATTGATGTAACAGCCAATGTCCCACTTTGACTACTTGTCTTGAGTGGGCAAGTGAATTGGATAAAATGGCATGTCAGCTTCAAGGAAGCAAAGCCTAAAGTCATTCCACATTTACATCTACGGTGAAGCCCACGTGCACAGGTATGGTGCTGACACACCACAGATCCTAATCTGAGGTTCCCTCCAACGACAAGTACATGGCCATGGCTACCTGGTGTGACATCTTCCTGAGGCAAGGGTGATGACTGACTGTAGAAGTCCAGTATCCACCCTTTCCGAATTAGACTGGAATTATGGAATTACATTTTGACTGGATTAACGAGTCTATGGAAAGTCCAATCAAAATCCCTTAACGAAATCGACATCCGGTTCATAGACAACATAGCGACTGCCATGCAGATTTCAGTTGACTGCAGGAGTTGCAGTGCATGTGTGCCACCTATTTATATTGTATTAAGATCTTGTTTATTGATACAACAGGGTTATGTATCTTATAACATGATTTAATACATAAATTTATCTGAAAACGGAACAAATTATTTCTGCTCAGACATTTCCAGGCATCAAATTATCTGGCCAGCCAATTCAAAATCTCATCTAGATGATGAATTCCTAATTCAATCCCAAACTTGTTTCTTATGTTGATAAAGCAGCACTAATAACTAGTGCAGGTCTTCAGTCAGTGAGTCCTTAAGCTCCCAGAGTGCTTAATCTGAGAAAAACCCTCATTTTGAAATTTTAACATAAACAATGGTATGACAAGCACCCCTTTACTTTCATTCTCTCAGTTTCGTACACTGTGATAAGAATTTATTGAAATCTTAAAACAAAAACACCATCAACAGACATGTGACACCATTTCAACCACCACCTGACTTACAACTTTCAATTTCTGATCACGGACTGCACCAAGAAATCTCCAAACCAGTTAAAAAAATCAATCTTGGATGAACTCCAAGAAACCCAGAAAAAGGCCATGATTATTTCGGAAACCATCAAACTGGTGGCAGTGGTGGAGAAGCATGTTTCCTCAGAGGCGTTTACCTCCTCCGGCAGTGTGGCTGTTACACAACGCTATCTTCTAAAGCAATAACACTCTTACCATTTCTCAAGATCCCATTTCATCTTATCACAGTAAAAGAACAATTATTGTCTTGATGTACGGACTATCTCTTCCGATACACGTCTTCATTTGCACATTTTCATTTTTAAATTAGTTTGATTTCCTGAAGGCGACTATTGTGCTCTGCTTGAATGACATGCATGGCAGATAAGTCATATTTGTTTTCCAAATTTAAGAGAACATTCATCCCCTGAACAGGAACTGGCTATATTTGCTGTTCTATTTACAGTTTATGACTGAATGTTTTCTGAATACTGTCTTATCAAGTTGTAGGAAAAAAAAAAGAATCCACAGATTGCCTTTGTGATATTGAGCATGTTGCTGAGAAACAATGTAAACAATTGTCCATGTACACAGTATCCACCCAGATGACAGATAAAAGGCAAACAACATGTCACGTACAATTCAGACAATGGCATGCACTGGTGCTTATCTTGGCAGGTAGATTTCATTTAGAGGAGAATGACATGCTATAGTGAGGATTAAACTGAATAAACAGAACAGAATGTTTATATTTTCAAAGACCATGACAAGATAATGTATCTGAAACTTAAAAAGATTTACTTTTTTGTTGAATGAAAGTTTTTCTTGGTTTGTATCACAGAAGAGTGCTCAGCATTGTTATACGCATTGTTATTTGTTCATACTCACTGACTTCATTGGCTTCTGAAGTTAACCTGTGTACATATGTTATGTCTACAAGTTGAATTTGGTTTATCTATTCCCAATCATTGAATTGTTCATCAGGAATCATAAAAAAAAAGAACAGTATCAGCCTGTTCATGTTGCCGTTAACATCCTTAATAGTGACAGACTTGGCTTATTCACATTTTATGGAGGATTGTCCAGAAACCAATATTGGTTCAAACCCCCAGCAGTTTGCGTTGAAGTAATCATCAGTTTAGACCTATCACCATGAGATGTCAGTAATCATCACTTCAACCCCCATCAGTATGTGTTGAAGTAATCAGTAGTTCAACCCTATCAGTATGTGTTGAAGTAATCAGTGGTTCAACCCTATCAGTATGTGTTGAAGTAATCAGTAGTTCAACCCTATCAGTTTGTGTTGAAGTAATCAGTGGTTCAACCCTATCAGAATGTGTTGAAGTAATCAGTGGTTCAACCCTATCAGAATGTGTTGAAGTAATCAGTGGTTCAACCCTATCAGTATGTGTTGAAGTAATCAGTGGTTCAACCCCATCAGTATGTGTTGAAGTAATCAGTGGTTCAACCCTATCAGTTTGTGTTGAAGTAATCAGTAGTTCAACCCTATCAGTTTGTGTTGAAGTAATCAGTGGTTCAACCCTATCAGTATGTGTTGAAGTAATCCGTGGTTCAACCCCATCAGTATGTGTTGAAGTAATCAGTGGTTCAACCCCATCAGAATGTGTTGAAGTAATCAGTGGTTCAACCCCATCAGTATGTGTTGAAGTAATCAGTGGTTCAAACTTATCAGTATGTGTTGAAGTAATCAGTAGTTCAACCCTATCAGTTTGTGTTGAAGTAATCAGTGGTTCAACCCCATCAGTATGTGTTGAAGTAATCAGTGGTTCAACCCTATCAGTATGTGTTGAAGTAATCAGTGGTTCAACCCTATCAGTATGTGTTGAAGTAATCAGTGGTTCAACCCTATCAGTATGTGTTGAAGTAATCAGTGGTTCAACCCCATCAGTATGTGTTGAAGTAATCAGTGGTTCAACCCCATCAGAATGTGTTGAAGTAATCAGTGGTTCAACCCCATCAGTATGTGTTGAAGTAATCAGTAGTTCAACCCTATCAGAATGTGTTGAAGTAATCAGTGGTTCAACCCTATCAGTTTGTGTTGAAGTAATCAGTGGTTCAACCCTATCAGAATTTTTGAAGTAATCAGTGGTTCAACCCTATCAGTATGTGTTGAAGTAATCAGTAGTTCAACCCTATCAGTTTGTGTTGAAGTAATCAGTGGTTCAACCCTATCAGAATGTGTTGAAGTAATCAGTGGTTCAACCCTATCAGAATGTGTTGAAGTAATCAGTGGTTCAACCCTATCAGTATGTGTTGAAGTAATCAGTGGTTCAACCCTATCAGTTTGTGTTGAAGTAATCAGTGGTTCAACCCTATCAGAATGTGTTGAAGTAATCAGTGGTTCAACCCTATCAGAATGTGTTGAAGTAATCAGTGGTTCAACCCTATCAGAATGTGTTGAAGTAATCAGTGGTTCAACCCTATCAGTATGTGTTGAAGTAATCAGTGGTTCAAACTTATCAGTATGTGTTGAAGTAATCAGTAGTTCAACCCTATCAGTTTGTGTTGAAGTAATCAGTGGTTCAACCCTATCAGTATGTGTTGAAGTAATCAGTGGTTCAACCCCATCAGTATGTGTTGAAGTAATCAGTGGTTCAACCCTATCAGTATGTGTTGAAGTAATCAGTGGTTCAACCCTATCAGAATGTGTTGAAGTAATCAGTGGTTCAACCCTATCAGAATGTGTTGAAGTAATCAGTGGTTCAACCCTATCAGTATGTGTTGAAGTAATCAGTGGTTCAAACTTATCAGTATGTGTTGAAGTAATCAGTAGTTCAACCCTATCAGTTTGTGTTGAAGTAATCAGTGGTTCAACCCTATCAGTATGTGTTGAAGTAATCAGTGGTTCAACCCTATCAGTATGTGTTGAAGTAATCAGTGGTTCAACCCTATCAGTATGTGTTGAAGTAATCAGTGGTTCAACCCCATCAGTATGTGTTGAAGTAATCAGTGGTTCAACCCCATCAGAATGTGTTGAAGTAATCAGTGGTTCAACCCCATCAGTATGTGTTGAAGTAATCAGTGGTTCAACCCTATCAGTATGTGTTGAAGTAATCAGTGGTTCAACCCTATCAGTATGTGTTGAAGTAATCAGTGGTTCAACCCTATCAGTATGTGTTGAAGTAATCAGTGGTTCAACCCTATCAGTATGTGTTGAAGTAATCAGTGGTTCAAACTTATCAGTATGTGTTGAAGTAATCAGTGGTTCAACCCTATCAGTTTGTGTTGAAGTAATCAGTGGTTCAACCCTATCAGTATGTGTTGAAGTAATCAGTGGTTCAACCCTATCAGTATGTGTTGAAGTAATCAGTGGTTCAACCCTATCAGTATGTGTTGAAGTAATCAGTGGTTCAACCCTATCAG